AACAAAACAACAAAAAAATCACAATGGTAGACTAATAACTGCCCCAGAACTCCAGCCTGAGGTGCATCTCAAACGTGGAYAAAGTATTTGCATTGCAATGTTTGAAAATTGCCTTTTTGCAGAAGTTTATTTCTGAGAGTTGAGAAATACTGTGGTTTTCTTTCCTATGGTTTCCTTAATCTAGAAGCAATTCAGAAACATCACAGCTCCATGGGTAAAGCAGAATAACAAGAGTTAACAGTGACAAATCCCTAGTCAGCACTAACTCTGTCTGCGGCCTTTCCCTCAAAATGACTCTTCAGAGGAAATGTGCATCCTACTGAACTCTGACAGACACCTTGTATCTGTGCCTGCTTGGACAGAATAGATAACTGCCTGCAAGACTTCTAGTAATTCTGGCTAAGAAAGGCTTACAGGGAAGTTTCTTAAAACATTTACGAATTAAATGTCCCCTTTAAAAAAATTCTTGTTGACAGTTTAGGCAATATTCCAGATGATTCTCATCCAGACTGGCTGAACAATCACTCTGGGTTTGTCYTACTACTTTTCTTAAAATACCTATTTAGTCATCACATTATTCTGAGGACTAGCATTACTTGGAAAAGTTTTCTCATATATACTAGAAAAAAGGTATTTTCTAGAAGATATATTTTAACATCTGATATTACACATAATCTCTCTTGCCACTGGAAATCCAAAGCAGCCATCAGTAAAGGCAGTTGCTTTGTGTTCAGCTCCTGAGTTATTCACAGGCTTCACAATCCTGAACCATCAGCCTGCGATTTGCTTTCCTTATCTTGAACACAGAAACAATGCCACTGCCTGGCACCTTACACACAAGTCAGCCCTACAGWCTGTAAACTCACATTAAAGGGTTTGACTCAATTCACATCCGGTTTTTATTGTATTTTCAGTGTGAGCAGGGACATCTGTGACATATCATGGTGGGGAATGAGACATTCTTGAATCAACTTCTGGTTACCCAGCTCAGAGTCAGTATGTAATTAAGAAAGAATACATCATTAAGTGTTTCACATTAACAAGGTTAGTCACAGGACTACCCAGAAATTTCAGTTTCCAGAATGAATGGTACATGATCAACCAGGGAGCTGAGGAAATCCTGCCAACAGCCAAGGGTACATTCTAACTCCAGGTTGCGGTGACTTCTGCATTTGTTTTCTTGAAAATACTGAGAAATCAACAGACTAGTTTCTCTCAGACATATTCCCTTCATTTACTCAGATAATGTTTAATTTATTCATTATATAAATSATTATATGTTTTATTATATAAGAAATACTTAATGAGTGAGACTTGGTYAAGTCCCATTGTTGTAGGGCCTTGTAGGACCTAGACTGGAGGCCACTTCTGGTTCTGCCTTTTGGGATATCTAAAACAGCTTTACAAGGAATTCATGTTTCTTTTAGCCTATATACAAATAGGCACTTAAAACASTTTCAACATTCTGACTCATACATTCAGCTTGATTTCTAAGAGGATTAATCATTTCCTTACTATCATTGCTATGAAGCAGGAAAGATTGAAAAGGTTCTCAATATACTGATTTTTTTTAAATTTAAAAGAAACCAGGCTTTTTTTTCAAACAAATCCATTCCTGTGAACTAATCATTCTGAACAATAGTGAATGATTTCAAGTTATGACCAAATCTTAAATCAAGCACTCCTAGAAGGTAGAAGAAAGATTCTTTTTCTTGTAATTTTTAAGTTGTTTAGATGACTCAGAGATATGGAGCAAACAAAAACCCAAAAGTTATTTGCATTGAAAATTACAGGTACAAGCAGTAAGACTGGAATGATGCTTTTAATGACTTGTCTTTATGACAAGGTGACAAAAAGATTAATGCTTAMCATCAATGTCAAAGCACTTTACAAACATGGACTAAGCTTCCCAAGCCACCACTGATAYAAATACCTTTAAAAAGGGTGAACTCAAGAACAGGAAGGATCTGTCCAATGTCCTGTTGAGCTAAAGCACAGCCTGCTGATGCCAGGATAACACACACTGCATTTGGTGTGAGCAGATCGAAACACAGCGAGACAGAAGTCAGCTCTGATTTCCCATAACAGGTCTGGTTTTCTTTTCAGATTCAGACAAAACAGAGGAAGCTTAGCTCCAAGACTGTTGTTCAAAGAGATCTGTGGTTTGACAAAATTTGACAAGTTTCCCTCCTTCACAAAACTTCTCATCTTTAGATCTGTTTAGAAACTCTCAAAGAAGCCTGCAAGACCTGTTTTAACCAAAACTGAGTGAGCTGAGCAAGCCTATTTCCCTCCAAAGCACTTTGGCAGCCACGTAAGAATTACAAGTTATCTAACAGACAGTGGTTACAAACAACACTTTCACAGGAAAGCCTTGAAGCTGATAAACTGTGATAAGCAAATTCAAGTGAACTGCATGGTGGAGAAGCAGCAAAGCAAAGCTGCTCACATCTTGTTCCCAAGAACTCTGGAATTAAGCTACACCCTTCTCACATCAGCAACTGGTTTGCATAGGATAATATGGTGATACAAACGAGTGAGACTTAAACATGTGTGGCTATAGACAGTTGTATCTGATACTCTTACAGGTGAGAGGCTTTTCATGGTATCAGTTAACAGATATCCTGAACAGAGGCCACAATTACATATAAASTACTACAAAAGGATGTTTCTTTTCTCTTATCCCTCAAATTAGCYATTAGGAAGAGTGAGACGACTTTCGTCCTTTGCAGAGCCCACCTCCCTCTGCAGACTAGACATTCTCTTTCCTAAGACATTATGGTAGTTCTGCTTCTCTCCTTCAGAAACTCCTTTTTATATCTCTGGTAGCTCTGGCTGCCAAGGCAGAGCCAGCTCTGTAGTGGTGACCCAGTAGCTATCTCCTTTCTCAACTCAATGGTCCATTAAACACGCAGTTTCAAGCAGCTGCTAAAATCTGCTTCAAATAAATTACCCCTAAATGAGGACAAACTTATACAAATATGTCTTCATCCAATTAACCAAAAGACAGAATTTGTTTCTGAAGTAAAATAGCAGCTTATTTTCCCACCCAGTGTCACAATGTCTATTCCATACTAAAGCTGAGAAAAATGTTGTGGAACTAAGAAACAGGGCCCAAGTATTCATCTCTCCTCATCAGTCATTCAAACAGGAAAAAAAAAAATTAAGTTGTGGCCTACGTGAAGCATAAACCTTTATCTGGGGGTAAGACAGAGAATGGAATGACAAGATCGGTATTTTCCATTCAACAAGCACATTTCCCAGCTTTGTAGAGTTGAGTGTCTGAGGACAAGCAAGAGCTTTCAACKCATTTCAAAAGATCTCAAGTCTGAATAATAAGGCACTCAATAATCTAAAAACTTCACCTCATAAAATCCATTTTAGAGAATTGGCATCCAAAAGTAGAAACAATTTTAAGACCTAGACATATTTGCAGATAAATCGTTGATAAAATCCTTCAGCTAAAAGCAGAGAACAACTATGCATCATCCAACCAGACTGACTGACTCTCCATCAGCTCAACTGCCCTAACTCCGTGTGAGCATTTGCCTGAAACCTTCTTCCAATTATGCCAGAGGATACTTGCAACTCCAGGTGCTGCAACTCCCTGCACTTCTCCTTATTTGAGACTAAACGTATCAGTTCAAAATTCAATGGAATTTTCAGGGAATACACTCACATAAACAGTGATCTCTCATTCCCAGTTGTATGCATCACACATTCAAAATCACCAGAAAATGTTGAGATAGTTTTTGTCCAAACACAGGCTCTAACATGGCAGAACAGAAATGCAGTTTCTTCTGATCCAACAGCTGCACCCATGAAATTCCAATGAACTCCTTCCTTGACATGGAAACAAAGGTTAAATGTCAAAGAATGAAGATAYCAATCTCCAAATGCTGTATCTTTACTTAGACAAGAGTTACTTTGACAAAGATATATGTATTGACAGAGTTTCACTTTCTTGTTTATATAACTATGATGAAATTATCTTGATGATAAAGATGTGGATTACCCACTATAGGACTGTTCAAGATGCTGCACTTAGATGTTTCTGGGGACTAACAAAAGCATGGACTAGTGCAGCACTGATTTCTGTCCAGTTCTTTATCAACCCAGTTAGCATGAGAGAGGGTGGAAGTTGTGCTTTCATTGCCTCTCTGATCATCAGTAACTCAGGGTAAGACACTCAATCTGACTCAGAGTCTACAAAGATCCACTACAGAAACACAGCAAAAATGACAAMAGGCTGCAAGGGTTCTGAAGMATCAGGATACAGAACCACAAAGCARTTTCAAACTTGAAGGAAGGGAACTTCCTGGCAACAAATTATAAAATTAGCATCCTTAAAGCAGCATTACTGGCAAAATTTAGAAAGTTCGGCTGCCAGAAGCAGATTGAAGTTCATTTTCCACAATACACCATGTTTTCATATTTACCTCTTACAGAGAATAAGTGTCCTCTGATACCTAGCTTGCTTATTTGATGGGACAACGTAACTGAATTCATCCTAAGAAAGCTTCTGGAGCAATAACTAGTTTGAGAAGCATTTCCCAAGGACTGTATATTGACTGTGATGAATTCCTATTGATGCAGAGGCTAATTAACAAGAATCCAACTAATAACTTTGTTGGATTTAATCCATATACTGAACTGGCAACATGCACCAGAGAAAGCAGCAGAGGGTGAAAGGATATGTTTAGGGAAGAGATCACAGATGGCGGGCACTTTCAAAGTGGGTCACAGATATTTTAGATGTTGCCCAGCCATTCTTAACCCTTRGTTTCATCTACTTTCCATTGCCCTTCCAGGCTTGTTTCTGTTCCCTCTCCTGCTATGATTTTCCTGCATACACAGTACAAATTACTCTGGCTCAAAGGTTAAAATGCCTGGCATCCACACATGCACAACATTCTTCTAAATAAAAGCAAGACTCTGCAAATTCTGCTTGTCATTGCTTTTGAATGTCCTTGTGCAYCAAATGCAGCAACAGAACATGAAATGAAGGAAGTTTTTTTAGTAACACCATTTTTATTGCCAAGTTCCATTCACAAAGAAAGGTCTATTCCTTGTTCTTGTCCAGGTTTTCAATAGCCACAACAAACGATCAATGCCAGCAAATACAGACTCAGCTATAGAAATCTGGATTTCAGAAACATACACCAATATTTTCTATGTTCACTCTCTTCCCAGACACTTAGTTACATTGTTCTTTAAATTAACATAAGATATTATCACATTTACTCCAAATGTCTAACATAACTTACATTAAATAATTAATACTTATTGCCTGTAGAAAGACATTTCAGAATTCAGTTCAAACCATGTTTGGGCTTTTTTTCCAGGTAATGTAGTGCATCTTCGGGATTTTTTTTTCCAAATGAACTACATTTCATACATAACTTTATTGAAATATATTTCATAAGAGGAGAGTCCTTCATGTTCATTACATGCTTTCTGTAGTGCTTAAATCCCAGGTACATTCATTCTTCTAGAAAAATACATTTCTCCCTCTTTGCACTGAAAACAATCAAACTCACAAAACAGCTCAAAATGAAGGAACAAGTTTGCAACAAAAATACCAACACAACTATTCACAAGTGGAGATGCCTAAAGTTATCTTCTAAAGTTTGTAATGCTTCCAATGGGTTCCCTGGAGTTGTGACAACATATTCAGTGCTGTCCCTGGGCAAAACAAAGCTCCTAGACWTTGGAATTATCTATAAATTCATACACTTGAATCTATTCTCAATCTTTAAAAACATTATCTTCATGTTCACTGTAAAAATTTCTGCCAGTCCTAAATACACCAAAACATTTATCTCAGATCTGCTCATACATACTTTGGTTATCAGATTGCAATTTCTGTATGTATTAAACTCACTTTAGTGTGAGTATCCATAACCAAAAGTAATGGGGAACAAGGTAAAAAAAATCTCATGAATCTTCAGTTTATGATCTTAAAAAGACTCTTGTGAACTAGTCCTAACTTAACTCTAMCTTTGTTACCAAGTATAGCCATTACATGCTTAAGCCCTTTTAAATTACTTTTAAAATAAGTGCACTCCACACATTTATGCTAACAAGACAGTCCCAACGACTCAAGTTTTTCCTTTTCATATTAAGAACCAACAAATTCAAGTCAGCAAAACAATAAACCAAATACCACCACAGTGACATTTATTAGACAACCAAAATTTAGCTTTACATTTATAATACATTAACAAACACAAAATATATATTTTATAACACCTTGCAAAAGAAATTAAATCTGAGCAATGCGCAAATCTAAAAAGGTTGGGAGATCAAAATAGGGAAAATTCTGTACAAATGTAATATAAAAATATGTTTCCATATGAAAGAACCCTCTGAGACTCAGTCAAGAACTGCATCTCCTATGTCTTTGTTGCTGCTCAARTCCTGAGCAGCAGAAAAACCCCGAAGCACTTCCCCCCTCCCAACCCCTACAAACATCCCACCCTAGCAAGCCCTGCTTGGATCACCATCTGCTTTTCAGAATCCTATAGGAGACAGCAGGAGTTATTCTATTTGTTTCTAATTCATGCTGSAAATGTAGGGAAAGGTCAAGAGAAACACAGCAGGCAAGCACAGGAGAGCTACTCCAAAGATTCCTAGACAATAGAAGAGTGGTGCCCACGTGAGTGATACCCTAGGGTAGGGCAGTAGGGACATACCAAAAAACTCTTTCAAGAAGGACAGTAGCAGTTAAGAAGAGAATTTTCAAGGTGTATTTAGATGGCTACATTAGGCTGTCTGAAGGGAGGAGATTCATTATCTTGGAGGCAAAAGGCCTCCRTCTCCCTAGCCCCAGCAAATGTCTCTGCAGATCTCTGATTCAGCTACAGGACTAAAGCACTCATTGTCCAGACAGCAGCTGCCTGCCTGGGCAAKGTGCTTTTAAAGGCAAGCTTAACTTCAGCTGGTTAGTGGGACAACAGCAGGATGTTTAGCCTGATGGGGGTTTTTTGACCACTACTCCATGTGGTCAGTGACACTGCTCCTGAGGCTGCTCTGGAGCTCCCTGTAAAGTGAAGTGCAGTGCAGTGAAGTGACTGATTACACCAGAGCACAACAGCACCATGTGAGTGAAGTGTTYACCTTTATGAAGTGGCTTCATCCTTACACAGACAGTTTGACCTGCTTGTCTGATAGCTTACCTGTGTCTTCAAGCATAAAGCTTATTTTACTACCAGTGAAATGACACTCAGTTCCAGGGCAATTACTGAATTTGTGGATTACTTGCAGTAATCATCCCAAGACACTTGCAGTGAGGGTGGAAATTACAGTCACTCACATCTTACTGCTTAATTAGAAAATAAAATGACAATAATTTAATCCTGAAAATGGTAAATCTTGCCATAAATAAAAAAAAACTATTTTAATTATTACTTCTCAAATTCTACAAACCAAAATACTTMAAATCCAGAAAAAAAACATTATTTCCTCCTCTGTTCTGTATCATTGACTTAAACTCTGAATATGGAGTCTTAAATTCTGGATAAGRAGGATGATTTTTTTAAATGTCACATACCTGTCTGTCCTTTAGCAACAACATTGGAARAGAATAAATGAACTCTGGAAGATACTCGCAATGTTTCATCACCAAGTGACTTCAAGAAAAATTCCAACTGGGCTGTAAAACGAAGAATGCTGAGGAGATCCTTCAGTGAGTATTTTTGTATCTTTCCTTCTCTAAGCTCAGTTTACTTTAAGGAAAAGTAAGAAGAATTTTAGTTTATCATGACTTAGCAGTGGAGAATATAAATGAGCTCAGTCCTTATAGCATATATAATTCATGACTTCACAGACAAAATACGGGTTTAATACTAATATAAGTGATGACTTTCTAATAAATTTGGTTTAATACACACCGCTTATGAAATGAAGCAGAGGAAGCCTCACCTTTGGTTTAGTTCTGTATCAAAGAATTTCTGTAAAACAATTGATTTGTATATCCAAGTTTTACACTGCAAGGATTTCTCCCATGTGAAACAGACATCAGAACTGGGCACTAATGCTTCCTCCCTCCCTTCCTTGACCCAATTACCACCTGTCTGAAGCCATTAATCACGTCACAAATGAAAACTCAACTGGTTCACTGCTGGACACTGGATGACAGAAAAGCAAAAGGGACCAGCAAGAAGCAGTGAGACCTAACAGTGAAGGCAACACAAAGCTCAGCAAGTAATAGTTTGGTAAAATTTGATAAATTAAGACACACAGACTGTAAAGTAAGAAGTAACATTCAGTATGCCCTGGTTTCTTTGGTGTCTCTTCTCAAAAGGAAGAGAATATCAGAATTGTGTTACGTTGACAGAATATGACTGAAGACAGGTATAGTCTCTACAGATGCACACTGAGAATTTAAAATACCTCCAAAACWGACATTTTGCTCCAGAACATTGCTATATTTAGAGTGATTTTATCTCCCTCTGCAGTATTACACTGAAGTATTGAGGCTTTTGAATGACCAGTTGTTTAGTTGCTGCTCTCATTTGCAATTTGGTGTTTGGATTTGGTTAAAGGCACTGGTGTTACACTGACATCAATATGGGTTTTTTTGTGGCTGATGTGCTAATGAGAGCAAAACAGCAGGCAAGCACAGAACTATTCCAAAGATTTATAGATAAYAGAAGAGCAGTGCCCAGGTGAGTTTCCTTTTTACAGTGAAAGGGGGATGAGGAAACAGCCATTTTCTGATAAGGGAGAGATATAGCACTTCTAGGAATTGTAGATGGGTAACTCTGTATTTGCAGAGCTTAAAAACTGCCAATGGCAGATTATTTCAACATCTCCAGAGTTTTGCATTCTGAAGTCTCCTACATAAAGTACAGTCCAATGTTAGACACATACACCTTAACATYAGAAGCAAAAGTCAAAAATCAATTGCTTACGTGGCACTAAATAGAGATTTAGGGTCTGTATTTAGGGTCAGCTGCAGTGTTTATGTAACAACCCAAYGCTGGTAAAGCTGGAGTCAGAGTTCTCCCATGGTAATTCCATCTTTGCAGAGAGCTGCTGGAAGCTATTCCACCTGAGCACCCCTCAAGCAGGGCAAGGCTCTGCCAGGARCAGACTCAACAGCAGATCCAGTTTTCCATTTCCCTAACAACAGCATCTCTCTCAGTCATTTCCTCTGGAGCTCTCACCAGGTAACTGGTCATGAGACTTAAAAGCCACTCACAGGTAAGATAAAGAACAAAGTGAACTTTCTTTCCCTCTCATCCCATTTCTTGTGCAGTGCAGCYTGGGGGTGAGATTRTGCACATTTATTAAAGAGACTCCTTGTGCATGGGTCTAATCTTGCTAGAACAGAATCTGAAATGAGATAAATAAAGAGCATGGTTTTCCTGTCTAAAATGAATTCTATTTAAGGGAGCTCAGCCTGCACACTGGCATTTTGTGTAATCTAGGTCAAGAGTGTAAGGTTAACAACTAACATAAAATGCTTTCAAATTAAGTAAGACATTTTTTATAATGACATTCAGAATATTACTGGGGCTACAGTGTAATGCTGCAACATACTAGAGGAAGTCTAGATTACCATCAGTTCAGCTAATAAAAATTCACGTGGTCCTTGTGCCCAAATTGCTACTGATGTCTAGGCTTGTTCAGGTACCTGCACATTGGCTGCAACAGTGACTGCATGAGTGCAAACTCATCCTAAGCATGAGACCAAAAAACCCCAAAAGTAGGCTCTTATTCCAGCAATGCCATATTTTCACACAAAACTCATTGCAATKCTGGGGACACTCAACTCTCAGTTCATTTAGAGTTTGAGCCACTCTGGAGTGGTCAGAATACCAGTTAATTCAACTTGAGAGAAGTCACAGAACAATGGAAATCAACAAAAGTGCATGAAAAAGTTAGTAAGGGGAAAAAAAATTACTGGCATTCAGTAGCTGACACTTTGTATACCTGGTTGGCAAGGATTAAATTGTTATGTGAAAGAGAAGACAGAGAAAGTGAGAAAAGTTATACTTGASAATTAGTCAATCTCCTATATATAAACATAACATTTAAAAATCACTTCAAGTGTTCCCTATGACAGCCAAGAAGAGGCACAATGAGCACCTGGGAAGTGGGTAAAAACTTTTCAGATTCACCAACTGGGTAAGAACTCAATGCTAGTAGAGACAGAAWGAGGAAACAGATTGCAGTGATGACTGAAATCAATACCAAGTAAACAGCACTTTGAGGAATTGCCAACTTGGTGTTATGAACAGACCAGCAATGACAATCTGCTCACATTAATAGTAATTTAAATTAATTTGCTTGRAAATTGATGAAAAATCTTAAATTCAATTCATACTAAATTATGTATCAAATCACCAAAGAACATTGCAAACTTTAATCAACACCTTTCCCTTTCTGTCAACTTGGTGTCAGGAGCTAGGAAGTAATGTAACTCAGAATCAYTTTTATGTAGCAATATTGTTTAACTGGGATATTATCCCAGACAGGAAAAAAAAAATAGTCACAATACCTTGCCTTTTGAGTTTCAGACTTGCAAAGGAATTATCAGTTAGATATGGTGACCTTCTTCCTATGTGACTATGAAAAATTTGAAAAACCTCTTTAGACTATAACTGCTTCTGTCTGCATCTTGAAGTTGTCTTTCAGTTGCAGGGATATCACAATTCCTCAGATGTGCAGATTTTGACTGTCAGAAGTGAACAAACAAGCTATAGGAATCTCTTAAAATATTTTACATTCCTCTGTAGGTGGCTAAGCAAAGACTAAAGTAGTCTCAAAAATCYCTTATGTTAATTTGAATAAGCATTTGTCATTAAACTTCAGGCTTTTACATCTAGAAAGGTGTACCTTTGAAATAAATCTTGAAATAAATATTACATATGGAAAACATAATATTGAAGTCTGGAGTCCCACAAAGACAATACTGAAAGTGGCCAAGCCTGCTGGTATTTTGCAGACCTCCAAAAGATTAACAAGATCAGGATTAAGAAACAAAACCAACCAAACAAAAAAGCCAAACAAAACCCCAAAATCCCTCCTCCACAAAAAAACYCCAAACCCRAACTGAAAAAACCTGACTCAAATGGAAGCTTTACCTCTGTCTTACAATATATAATTTTTTCGGGTCAATGGTATGTCTCCAGTTTCAGAGACGTAATAATGCAGTATCATGAAGCTGGGTATCCAAAAATCTCTTCACTTTGCCATAATACTGTAGATCTTTCACAATTGTTTAGTTCCTGTTAGAAAGATAGTAGRTCCTCTGAAATACTTTCATGTTCTTATATAACAGAAATTGGTAGGAAAGAACCAGTCCAGACTGGAAAGTTTGGGKTTTTTTCCCATTCTCCAGTTCAGACACACCGAGTAGCCAATGTTGGCTCCAAATTTTGTTGACATTKTCTGTCACCAGTTGGTCCCTTCGTGTGGACCTGAGGCCTCTCAGGCCTCCAGAAGTATCTGAACTCCCAGAGAAAAAACAATTCACAATTTGGTTTGCATTTCCTTCACTGTTTATCACAGTCTGCACCTTGGCTTTAGTCAGAATGTTCTTCCTCTACCTCTTTTACTTTGTCAACTTCAACTTCAGACTGCAAAGAGGCCTGAGGGATGCAGCTGAATGTTCGAATGCTGTGTGGATCCACTGGTGGCACCAGTGTGAGCGACTCCACGCTCAGCGTGTCCGTGTTGTCATCTGTGATTAAGGATATTGTGGGCTGCTGTGCGGGAATCAGGCTGGGAGACAGGTTGGCTGTTTCTATGTCACTGCTTTTTACAGCGTTTTTGCTGGATTTGGAGACAGCTGGAAGAGATTCATCAGTCAACATCGTCTGACCGGAACTGGCCATCGGAGGCTGCTCTGGAGCTGAAGCWTCATCTGAGAAAAGAAAGCACCAAGAACAATCAATATTCAAGTCAGTATATACATTAAGCCTAATAACAGACCATTATTCATTAGTGTTCAAGAATAAACTGGGTGGAAAATGCAGTTCTGTGAAGCACTATGCTTACACATCCACTTTTTAGTAATTAGAAATAAACCAGAATATTATAAAGGCATAACATAAAATGCCGCAGGATTCTGTTCAAATTAGGAACCAGACAATTATATACATTTAGTATTAGAATATGTAGCAGTATTAGAAATATTCTCAGAGAGAGGAAATTGAGGGGAAGAAACCCTCTCCAGTATTTAGTATGAACTAAAATGAGCCACTACCCCATACCAGGAAGATCTTTAGAAATCAAAGAAAAAACCAAAGAACCACTTTACAGCCAGCTTTCCCAAAAGGTGGCCTGTTTCTTACAAAAATTTGGAAGCCATTCTCTCAATTCATCCTCCAGATTCACATTTAAGCGACACCTCAGCTACAGAAAGCAGAATTATGGCAGAAGAGGAAGGAGGATGATGCCCTTACTGCAAGTGAAGGTGCTGCAAAAGAGGCCAATTTTACACAGCCTTGGGAGACATGATTTTTTGTCTTCCTAAGCATGGGGCATCCACCACTGATAAAACTGGGAATAAGAATAAATTCTATAGAAAAACTGATATGCTACTACACTTTCCCACATTATGAAAAYCCCCTCCAGCATTAACAGCTATTTGTACTGTCCTTTCCCCCTAAAAATCCTAGTGAACTGCCGAGCAAGCTGCTCATTTGGCTCAGGATGGAGAGGGAATGGAGGGGAGGAGGTGATACAGCCTTACATGAGCAAGTATGCCCAGAAAAGTCTGATTTTTTTTCGTTTCAGACTCCAGTAATAGATGCCATTAAAGTAACAGGTATCCAGCTTCAAGACAGACCAGTTTTAAAGCTTTTGTAAGAAACAGCATGTGTTCAAGTGTACAGGCATCTGCAGAGAAGTCTACTAGGCAATGTAGTGAATACAGAAGCTAAGAACTAGGTATGGTTTTAATACACAGTGACCTTAAAAATATTTCCGTTTCAATATGATTCCAATTAGTCCTGGAAAAGAACAGAAAGCATGAACATAAGACAAAAAAAAAAGAAAAAAAAAAAGAAAAACGAAGTGGAGAATGGAATGGATATGAGTCAGGTATCAGTGGATAACACTAAGATTATTGATTTTTTTACCTTTCTGGTATGATAACCCCAAACAATGGTGCATTCACACTTCACAAACCACTCACATGTACTTTTTGCTGAATTGGTGGCTAAAGCTTCTCACTTTAATAAAAACAAGATTTATAGATGGTAAAAAAGTCTCCTTTTAAATAAAAGGGACATCAGTGGTTATTTTTGAAATATAAGGATAGATTCAAAGTAACCCTACAGATTGTTTTTAGCTGTCAAGAAGCTTTAGTGAGAATGTAGCAACTRCTAGGAGAGGAAGTGAAGCAAGACTCACATGGAAAATGAACTGCTARAACAATGAAAAACAGCCTCATTTCTCTGAATTCCAGGATAAACACTAACATTTCAGTATGCACAGAACAGAACTGATTTTTAATTTATAAAAYCTTAAAAGAAAATCAAATGCTSTTTGCMAAGATAYTTTTTTTWATCTTACTTATACTATAGCATGAATATTCACCAAAGTTTAGGATTCAGAAACCTGAGGCATTCTGGCAAGCAAAGTATTATCAAAYAATGGCATTCTGCTCAGGAATGTTCTGTACAGCACATTTCTCTTGTGGTCCTATTTAACTTCTGAAGCTGCACTTTCTTAAATCATTCCTTTCCCAATAGAATATCAGTATAGTTTCATATTGCTTTCATTTACTGAAATAATGAAAGATATACATATTCTTTTGTTATTCTGTATTGTCCCCACACAGGTTTTAAATTAATGCTAAAGTGACTCTTCATCTTAATGCCACAAAGTAGAAGTATTTGAAAAAAGTCTCATAAAAAATGTCTGGAGTTAACAAGTCCAAACTTTTGTATAGAAAGTCTCAAAACACGTTCTGAAGAAAGATAAAAATATCAAAATATGTAAGCAAAATATAATTCCCAGTATTTCAGCTGCAGCATTTATAGAGAATAGAAGATCAGAACTGCTCTCTGCTTCCCTCCAKCTTTTATTTACTATTGATAGAAGCAAATCTCTCTCCTCTCAGCATGTCCTTCGTCAGTGTCCTTCTGTCACTCTGGCACTGTATTTTGGGGAACAGTGGCCAATTGCAGTAACCCAACGTGGCATCACTGCCAAAATGACCAGAAAGCAAATCCCAACACACAAAGAGGTGGAGGAGGGAGAGTTCTGAACATAGTGTAGAGCTCACAACAATGTCTGTCTCCAGGCAGGTACCAAGCTCTTGCTTTTTAAGAGTTTCATGTACCCAGCATGTTTACAAATTAATTTCTCTGCCCTTTATCTGGAACTTCTTTTCATACTGCATGCAARAATACTAACGCGTTTTCAAAAACTCCTAACACTTTGTTCCAGTTTGACTTTTGGATAGAAAGAAAAAAAAATTGTAATCCTCATGCAGATAAAACCACCAGTCACTAAGATATGATCCACTCTTGAATTTCAAAAGGTTATCACCTAATACTACAAAACAGCATTTCTATTTATCTCTCCCCAAACTCCATGTATTTAAGCAAGAGTGTTCTGGCACAAAATATATGCCAGATCTGCAACAAAACCAGGGAGAGTGAAGTGAGTCTCTTAAAATGGTTCTTGCCTTAACTTTTAGCTCTAACAAACACCCTTCCATACCTCCAAACTTACTACACCTATTGAAAACAAAGTGTAGTTTTCCAAGTTTTGGGGTATTATTAGCTCTCTTTAGATTTAGAGCTTCAGCCTCACRTGTTTTTCAGCACTTCTTTAATGCTACAAAGATTATCATTACAGCAAAAAATCCAAACTAAAATACTCTACTTCTGTTGTTTTAACTTATGTTAAGAAGAATTATTGTGAAAGAAAATAGGAAAGAAAAGAAAAAGGAAAGAATGAGCATCATCCACAGAGAAGGTTCTAAGATGTATAGCAACATACTAGGAAAGGATAACAAAAAAAATAACAAGACATTAAGTGAAAAGTTGCAAATTAAATCTATGAAGACAAAAAAGGGTGTTTACATAATACCAGCTGAGTAAAGTATCTTCATGCCATGAGAGTAACAAAGAAAAGAAATTAATTGGATACAAGTGAAAATAGATTAAATAACAAAGGTCATGTGAAGCRTATCTCCATTTTTTTTTTTGCATCTGCTCTGCCGCCTAAGCTCCTCGGGAGAGGACAATTAAACAGTCCATAAAGTCATCTGCCAGAGCTTGATCACAGACATATAAAGCCTGTGCCATCAGTCCAAAGACAGTCTCCTGCTGGGAATATGACAGGGAATGGCTGTTCCTTTTACCTGAGCTGTAAAAGGATTTCTTGCTGCTGGCCAACGACCTGCATTACTGTCCATTCAGGAGCCTGGGCTTACTAAATTTCACTACAGCCAGGGCTGCCCTGTGCAAATGAAGACATGGCTGCTTTGAAGCTGGAGGCTTGATAAGCACAATTTCCACCTTTGGCARGAGTGTCCAGAGACATGGGAGAAAYGGCATATAAGGCTTTCAGAAACAGCTAATTAATTAATTTAYAGTTCTCCCAAAACAAAACGCAGAGATAAATATTACGATGCTTTCTTCAGTTTCCTACCTCACTGTCACTGCTGTCAGCATGGAAAGCAAATATGTTCTATTGAGTATTATGGGCTTGTGAAGGCTTATGGAGGAACCTGCCTGAGTGGGTATTGCGGGAGTTTCTGCTGCAGCTGCTGCTGGAAGGCCTAAACCCAGTGTCCACCGTGACTGTCAGCCTCCGACAGACTAAACACCCGCCGGCGTCCTTTCCTGCCAGACCTTACTGAGGGAAACACAGCCATAAATCATACAGAGGCTTGAACAATGACACAGGGAAGGGAAACTGGAATGAAGACAAAGGATAAATGTTAGAGCAGCAACAAGAATAAGTGACAAGGACACACCCGTAACTGCTGGTATCTTGAATACAATTCAACACCACACCAAAGCCTACTAGTTTTGRGAAATACTTCTGAAGCGGGAAGTATTCATTCTTTAGAAATAAATGAGTTTAACTGATTTTTTTTGCTTCCTATCTGGAAATATTAATAATACAGTTTGGGCTATTTCTTACAATACCAACAGCACTTAGACCAAGGAGGGCTGGTAGGTTTTTATTTTAATTACAATTTACTCACCTGCTTCAGAAATCTTGAGAGAAGTTATTTACCACAAATTCTGATGACACAAAATTATTCTCCTTTCCCTTGGCCATAAACTATATGAGGTGCAGTACAGTGCAGGTGACAACACTTCAGACCATTCAGCCCTACCATTCTCATATCCAACAGCAGCATTTACATTTGGTTTATGATAAAGCCAAATACAGGGTTTGAAAAGATAGCAGCAGTTCAGATGATGATGCTTGGTGCATAGAAAGTTCCTAGAAAAGAAACTTTCTAAGAACAAAAGTACTTCCTCACCTAGTTAGAAAATTACTAGAGCATCATAGAACAGAAGGTCAAACCACATTTACATTACTGATTATAGAGGGAAGAGACAAAGATGGTTTCAATAGGAAGGCAGGCAMTGCTCTTATAGGCTGTCCATGCTTGATTAATCATCCTCTCCTTGGAATGGAAATTTAATTTTACAGACTGGAATCCAATATGTTCTCTGCAACAAGGRACAGCTCTTAGTACTTATTTTAGATCTTTTATCATCACTATCTGCCAGAAGCATGAAATACAGCAGAAGTGGCACAGATCAGTGCCTTGCGAAGTCCTCATTACCTATTGYTCCAATGTAAACATTTTCTTAAGTACTGAAGCCAATTGCATTTTAAAACTTAAGACAGCTTAAAAAGTAATAAAATACAGCATAGATGACATTAACACATTTATAATTYTGGAAGACTGCTAACTTACAGTAARAGAGCTTCTATATCTATTCCTTGGCATATATAAAAATAAGCACTTTAAAGAAGTGCACAKTTCCAGCAAGGGTAGCCAAGACATGACTATTCTAAACTCTGAAACTTGATGACTCAAATTTGCCTAACAAGAGAACATTTCTACCTTGTGCATAGCAACACTTCAAACGGACATGCCAATGAAAAAATCATGTAAATACAAAGAAAAAAAACATTCTGATAGCAGCATCTGCAAAACCTGATACTGATTTTTCTGTCTTGCTAGGCATTCTGCTTTCTTTAAGGGATGACTTCTGCTTTTTCAATTTTAAAGAACAGTGACCTTGTAAAGGGCTAAGCTTAAATCCCAGATACTGCAAATGGGAGAGCTGCTAGTCTTTAAAATATCTGTGCCACAAAGCTCTTAGGTAGGATAGCCAATAAACTCGGGAAGCACAAGAGTTTATCACTCATAACAAAGATGTTGATGCAACACTGTGTGACTGTTTGATGCAGGTAGGAATGGTAACAAGTAAATTACTTTCACAAAACACTTTAATGTAACCTTTTTGTATGATATTTTTGAAAGCTCTTTTGCTGTTCAATTATCAATATATATTCTATATTGTAACATTGCTTTCTCTTAAYTAATATGCAATTTGTCTTTATTCTATTCTCATTTATCACTCTTTTATGTAAAAATTGGTGTCTATGTCACAAATCTGATTTCCAGAAGCAACTCTGTGAAGATTTACAARTATTGTCTCAAATATATCAAATCCTGACCAGTTTAAACCTGCCAATTGAGAGTATTTTAGGACATTAAAATCACAAGCTCAGAGTATAATAAGCTGTGTGGTTTAAGATGTTGCTCCTGAGGAAGGTAGCTGAGGTAGTTTCCTTGAAGTCCAGATAGCCATCTCCCTTTTATCTTGTCTGGCCTTCTTGTCTGAAGTTCCTGAGCAACCCAGGATGCTCTTCATGCTCAACAATTTGAGCAGGTGCCAGAGCAAACAGGGGAGCAGGGAAGGAGGGGCAGAGAGCTCCTACACATTTGTGTGTGTTCAAAATGGAATGGGAAATGAGACAAATGTGACAGACAGCAGCAGCATTCAAGGGCTGCCTTGGGACATAAAACAGATTTTGGTAACTGCTTGCTGCTCATCAGSTACTGGTTACTTCCTCCTCAAAGGAGCCACTTCAGATGATTYAAGTCTCCTCTCGTGCTTCCGAGCAGAATAAGGCAGTTTAGCTTCAGCTGCTTAAGCTAAGGGAAAATCACCCATTGAAGTGGGTGAACACCAACAAGYRTTTCCATATGCCAGYTGAGTGATTGGTATGACCTGATAGAGCACAGACAGTGCTCATGGCATTGTCACTTACTTCAGCAGAGTTCTGTTCATGCAGAAGCCCAWAGAACTGCTACCTGGACATGCCAAACAGATCCTCTCTCTCATGYCACATTCCTGGCAAGTTTCACTAGAGATCACAATTACATAGAAGTACTATAAAAGGGAGAACATTCATTACAAACTTGCAGCAAACTGGTCARTCAGTTAATGGAGAAACACTGATCCCAAGAATAAACAGTATTGATCTGACACTGAAGATTAGCAAAAAGTGTCAAGAAAGCTCCAGGGATTGGTGAAAACTGTCCCTATATTCCCACTCCCCAAAAGACCTAACTCCAGGGATTTCAGAGTTCTCACTTGTCTATACTAAGCATCTTGAGACACCGTCAGATATTTAGCCACAGRTTTTAAACCACTATTTGTTCATTATTGCCTGAAACTGCACTAAGAAGTTCATATATTGTTCACTAACTTCMTCGACATCCTTTCCTTATCCTTTCCAAAGGTATTCCTTGCAGGGATACTCACTTTAAACATATAATGTACACTGATCTGCTGACACTGTTTAATGAAACCTAAAAACACTCAATAACTAGCAAAAGTTGCATCATTTCCTGCAGGACTGCAACAAATTTTAGATATAGATGTGCCTTCCAAATAAAGGCAAAATGGTATGTCCTAGAAGGGGTATCCAGAACAGCCCTCTCAAGGAATGATCARCATCAGAAGTGACCATTAAAAGGARGGGTTGCTTGAAAAGATCTTGACAATCAAGTTACCTCTATTGTTTTATAACCAAATGAGATAGAGCAGGTCAATTCTAGCACAAAAGCATTTCAGTATGCACCCTTCAGGATTTACTTCTTGTTCAGTCTCCAGCCTGGGGCTTTGCCTCATACACAGAACAGACAAGATTGTCGACTCTTAGTACACAGAAAGGAGGAATAATGCAACAAGAAGCTCCAGTTTAAGCATACCCACTAAATTCACTGACCAATGCAAACACATGCAATCTACATTGTGAAAGTTACACTGTCAGTCTATTCATATTACAGTCTTTTCTGCACCAGCTGAAACAGCCTCCTGAAACGTGGAAGTGTACAGCCACGGTGTTATTGCAAAAGCTTTACAATATTAACATTCTAAATAACTATTTTCAAATATTTCATACTTGGCCCATTGTTACAAATTAATGTGAGGATCAGATAAACACACAAAAGCRAATGCCACCCAGTTCAAAAAGAGATGCTTCATGTGGAGATCAACTTATCCCCTATGGCCCTAAGGCTAACAGTTTTACATTACAGATTTATTCAAAGCAATCAWTTCTTCAGTTAAAACACRCCACCAACATAAAAAGCCCCACAAMATTCTAAACTGTATGTGCCAGGAAAGAAGTCAGAAAAGCAGGACATTATTTCACCAGTACTTAAAATCTCTAATGAAAGATGCCAAGTATTCAGAGTTCCAGAGAGCTGAAGAGATCACTTAAATTTGCACCCAATTTATTTTTAATTGGCTTAGCTGATTAAGTGATCTAAAACCATAAAGCCCTWCTGCTTTTAATCCAATAACATACTAACTTAATTTTACAATGAATTRCTCTGTATGCCTTAGTGCCTAGGCTGAAGATGGCGAGTGAATACCTGCTGGGCTCTGTGCAGCAGAAGGAGTGGATGTCGAGCTTGCAGTCACTGAATCACAGCGCCCTGTACTGCCACTGCCACTGGAAGGGGATGGTGAYGACAGTGGGGATGCACTGTGCTGGTTTATACACTGGGCTACAGCAAAGCCTGCAAAACAGGGAGGTTTTCAGGTTAATTATCTTGAGAGTTATGCTATAGAACAAAGTGGGAAAAGGTAAAAGCAAAYGCTGTATCAAAGTGGTGCCAACCTCCCGCAGTGACCCAGAGGATGTGCCCTCTCCCACCTTCATCTTGGAAACCAGAACATCTGAATGCATCTTACTGAAAACAGGCTACAAGTGCTGATCAATGAGCAAGGAAACAGAGTGTAAAGGATTCAAAGTATTTTAAAATTTAGAGTTTGCACAAACAGTCAAAACTCTTTGATTTTTGATATAGTCAATATATTCAGGGTCATAGACCTTAACGTAAGGAAAATGGTTAAGACAAAAGCGAATAAAAAAACCTCTTGGATAGAAGGCCTACATTTTTTACTAGAGATAACTTCAGGAAATTTTAATCAATCACATCTAATGCTGGCATTGAATTTCATCCAGCCTCTCACAAGCTAAACTTTTTCCAGTTTGAAGACTGGAAAGGTGTATAGTGTCTCACAGCACTCCTTAAATCCTCCTCACTYTCCCTCAAGAAAGTACTAATGCAAAAGTTTTTTTGGCAGTGCTRTAAACTACTGAAAGTAGCCACAACATGCACCATAAAACACCTGACAACATACTACTTGCTGCCATCACTGCACATTAACAGTGGAAAGGGAAGTATCTGACAGYCAGGTAAGATGGCAAATGCACCACACAATTCTTCATCCTTTCATATGGGGAATCTCCCACAGCACTGGATGGATGATTCACTCAGAGAATCTCCTACATGGGGAATTTGCTGGTGCCATACAGCAGCCAGTCAAAACACAGTTTCAATGCACATGTTACAAGGAGCCTCTGAAAGCTTCAAAACATAGATATGCAAGTCAGGRAAATGCTGTTAGCATCAACACAGTGACAGACTGTGCTACAAGTGAAAAAAACACAGTGAAGAAAGCACAGGAACAAAGCTAACAAACATCAGTCTTACTAATAATCTGACTTGATCTGCAGTCCCACCTCCTACTTTCTACCTCCCATGCTTACCCGAGAACCAGACTCAAAACCACTTGCAGAAACACAATGCTATCTGAATTTCTGYAGCACTGTGTCATAGTTTTAGATAGGTATCTAAATGTCACTTTTACCAAGTTAAATTACAATTCATTGTATTCAAGATGAACACCACTTGAAAGAATTAAATCACCACCATGGTAGAAGACATCTCTTTTAGTTAAAAACAAAATAGTTTGGTAASCAGCTAATTATCCCATAAATGTAAATAAATCCACATATTTTATTTCAGAAACCAAACTGATTGATTTTCTGCWATCATTTAGGTTAAGTTAAACTGAGGTTACATACTGTGATGTCTGACAGTCTGCAAAAAGTTGACCACAAACTGAACTACCTCAAATGTGAAAGACTTCTACATGTATCACTGGTCCAGAGTGCTATAGTTTTTAATCAGAAAATGTCCATTAAGTTTTTCATRCACATTTCATATTTGGAAATACCAGTTAGGATGGGGAAACAGAAAAATACCAGTGGACTTGTGACCACAGAAGTGAGGCAAAGCCAGCTGTTAAAATGAAAAAAAAAAAAACTAAGAACAGTTCCTAAAGCCACTGGTACAGAAGTGCTTGCATCAAGGGATTTAACTTCCCTTACAATGCTGGTAAAAGCTGTACCCATCCAAAGCATTCTATATTCACAAAAGCTTGCACTTCAAGGGAGAAGAAATCTGCCATCCCCACCAAAACAGTAGAAAACAGTAAACAAGGTCTCCCATGACTGTCCTAGAGAAAGCTGGCCTGACTTAGCAAGATGTCAGCCCAAAGCTTCTGCAGAACAGCACTCATGGATTCATATCTCCACACAGCAGCATTTGCTTCAAAGTGACCTCAAATATTTTCTCTCCCAAAACAACTGCAGAGGAAGGATTTTAAGTATGCTACAGGAAGCTAATTTAGATAGGGAAAGGTAAGCCTAAACCATTCAAAATACTGTAACTGGGAAACTAGTGACAAACAAATATTCAAAAGAGGAAACTCCTTCAGGAAATACTTGCAAAGAAAAGGTGAGCAGAATTAATCAGTTATGGGAAGTAAAATAACACTTAGAAGGGTTAATCTGATGATGACAGGTACATTAGGTCATTCCATGCACAGGGTTCCAAAGCTATGGATGACTTTTTTCCTTCAGATTTTAAAAGGAAGATGGTTATAGCTTGCCACCAGGCTAATGTTAACAACAAGTTTTTTCCTCCTTTTTCTCTYAAAACCTCACCATCATCATCTACTAAGATATTAACAATGGAAAAAATAGGAAGAGAAATCTATTGATTCCTTTTGCTTTTCAAAATAAATTTACTCAGTAGGTAAGCAACCACAGTTGTTAAAATATTTAGATGTACCTTTTGCTGGAAATCGTTAAGATTTCCCTTAAGACWCACTGGGCATATAAATTTCAGAATAGAGCTGATACTTGAAACTACTTSTTGAGTTTGCCTGAAGAGGGGCTCATTATTTATTTACTTTCAATAKAAGATCTATGTTCACAGGGCCCCCTACCAAACCTGCTGGTTTCTCTGARAGCAGTGTAGCTCTTTATTTACACAAAGAATGCTTCAAAAGTCCAACATATTCATAAATAGCTAATACATGAGATGGTGAGCAGTCCAGCCATTATCTCTAACAAGCTCTAATATTCTCACAAAAGCCAGTAACTTAAAACAGACCTTGAARTATATTCATAGCCACGACTTCATGATGATAAAATGGATCAAGTGAAGAATTTTGCTTACGTTGTTCTCTGATGAGAATTGTCCAGTCCAGCAGGAGATGATTACAGCATCTCCCTGCACTTGGCTAACCTGCACTTTTCGTTGTGTTAATGGAGCTGCTCTGAAGCATCATGTTATACTCCCATCACTCTTCATGTGYCATGCACAAAATTCAGTTTTAGGCTATAACCATCCTCACCCTCTTCCTCCAGACACCACAAAGCACTTTCAGAACAGATTTTAACTTTGGACTGTGAAACAATATAGGAAAATGTGCCAGATTTGACAACAATAAGGGAATGCATAAGGTAACTGCAGGCTCTCTAGGGAAACATGGAGAGCTTTATGCAGGCACCATGAGAGAAACTGAACCAGACRTAACTGCAACAGATGTTCTTGAAAATTCTAAACTCATTGACAAGAGAGGTTAGGGAACTGATTCAACAGCTGTATTAAAATTYTTCACAGACTGAAATCTGCAGAAGGGATGAAAACATTTATATTATTGTTAATTTCTTAAAAACCACACCGGATGTACAGCACTGAAAACCAACATGGTCCTGCCAAAAGTAGTAATTAATCTAAAAATATTGCCAAAAACATAGCTCTCCTTTAAATAATCTACAAAAGAATCATCACCAAGGGAAAGCATGATTTGTTTCTTAAAAGTACAAGCAAATAAAGTGACTGTCAGCCTTGCAGAACTCAAACACCAATTGAAGCTGTAGCAGTAAGGAATGAATACATGAAGCCAGTAATTGAACTCCAACTTGTTCAGTAATTTTTTTAAAGCCACAAAATTTTTCCCTTGAAGTAAAAATCACTGCAAGCCTGACAAAAGGATAAGCACAGATTCCTATGAAAATCACTACGAACTAGAAAACTTACTTCATTCCTTAGCAAAGATAAGAGAGAAAACCTGTATCTGATACTTGTGTTGTAATCAGAYGTAAAACAGGATCTTAATCYRTTTTTATTACATTACTAACTSTCATACAATGCATCTCAAAGATGCTGCACTWGAAGTACTTCAAGTTCTATGCCTCATTTATCTTACTTTGTAAACTTCAAAATACTTTTTCCTCTGGATCTGCAAGTGGAAGTCTACATTTCCTGGAATTCAAATAAAGTATGTGGTTGCTTCAACAARCTACTGTGTTGCATCATCCCCAATACCCCCATCTCCAAATTAGTAGATGAAGTCACCTGTTAGGAACACAAGTGCAYTTTCCTTACTAAAAGTTGAAACAGTGACACTGGCATCTTTCCAACCACACCTTTTCCATGGAAGTCACGTCAAATAAGGAAATACACTCCCATCACACAACACACACTTGTATTTGAAAGACCTGACTGGYGATATCTATTGTTTTATAATTTCTGTTTCCCATCAGGACACAGGCAAACTGAGCTCCAATTTCATCTTAAAGGAGTCAAACATCTACATTCTAAGTCGGGCATTTGAAWTCTGAATCACCAAATCCCATTTAAAGAGAAATACTGAATTCTGTGAAATAGTTGGGAGCAAGTGGTAATAAGACCTTCTGTAAATACAGCACAGTTAAGTACTTTCCAGCAGTATGAGACTCCACTTCAAAATGACTTAACCAAAAAGGAGAAAATTTCACCATCTGGAAAAGAATTTCTGCAGAGAAGTCAGTTGTGAAACAGACAAAAAGGAGACAAAAAAGCAAAGAGCTCGTTGATTTAGAATCATTCCTTTAATCCCAATTCCAAGCTAATATTTTAGGAGTAGCTGTGGCCCTTTGCTGTCTTGCTCATTCTGAGGGAAACCAGGCAGTGCACAGCATCCCAGCTGCTTTCACAATCCAGCATGAAAACATTCAAAAMCAAATGAAAGGAGGAAATATGCACCACTGACACATGAGTTGCATAAATATTGCATATGCAAAACATGACTTAATCTAACTCGATTTGTAAACGAAGGTAAAGTATTAAGACATCTGGGGAAACTACAATGGAAGTATTGCTCACCTCATACCCAGAATACACACCCAGGCATTATTTGTTTCTCTTGGAATAAGTTTTGCCCTAAGCCTCATCCTGGTGTTGTGTGTTCAGGAACACATCACAATAAGCTTTTCATTGCTTATATGAGTTACAGTAGAGTTTCTGCAGATAGAAATCACAAAGCAAAAACTGCTTGTTAATGAATGTTCATCTTACCTGGGACTTTGTCAACAGATGCAAAGACAGAGCGCTGCACTGTCGGGTCACTGCTCCCACGCCGGGACTGGTCATAGAATCTAAATGGGAGGTGCTGGGCTGCAGCAGAGCTGTGTCCAAAACCCATAACTTCAGTTGAAGGCTGAACAGGAAGATCCAGGAGAGCTATGTTTAATCACAATTGATAATTTTTGTTACTCAAATACATAAAAGGAAGAGGAGGTGACAATAGAATTGATAACTTGCTCAGGATCTCAAGTCTAAACCAGATTTTTAACGTAACTTGCCTGCATTTGCCTCTTAATTAGGGTTACAAATGCACTGACAAGAGAGTCAGTGCTTCTGGCAACCTTTTCTACATTGCTGTCCACACCACATTCACACTATGGAAACCCCAAAATACAGTAGAGGAGAAAAAACCCAAAAGGATTGCCGGAAGCCCCTTGTACTAAAAAAACATAGGAGTTATTAAAAAAACCTTTTGTTTTTCCCTGCACAAATAAAGGAATTCATTAGTTACAACTGAACACTGCAGAAAGCCATTTAAAAAGACAATGTGCTCTAAACTGGAAAAAAATTGCCTTTGCATTACCATTCAACCTAAAATTTTTAATATCAAGTAGATCTGTATTATCCTCAAACTCGCTTTGATTTTTTTTTATGAAGCAAACAATAAAAGTGTGCCATATGCACTTTGTAAACTCCAAGTTAATATGAAACCAAATCTATTCCTTGGAAACTCAGCCCTGGTTCAGAGCTTTCTGTGGCCCACCACTCCTTACTGTGCCTCACCCTGATGTTACGTAAACACTTGCAATGACAGACAAGTCTTGTGTGAATCATTTCAGAACCCCCATTCACCTGCTATTCTCTGCATTTTCATGCGCCGGGCTTGGATACGGCCTTTGGCCAGACGCTGTTTCGCGATAATGCAGCGAATGTGATCCGAAAAAATAAATGTAGCTTGGAGGATTGGGAAGGGCTTCGAATGAGGACTTGAGGCAGGCTTGTGAATTATTATGTTCAGAGCTCTACTGTCATCCTCTACTCCTGTCACCTGCATATCCTAAAGACAAGCAGAAGGCAAACAGTTAAAGAACAAATAAGCTTTTCTAAACTACAGATTAAATATTAACATTGAAAGAAAAGCCTATGAATGYTCCATCAAAGATCCTACAAAGACAATTTCCAGGTTAAAAAAACCCARCAAAATAAAACCAAAACAGACTCTGCAACTTGTACAACTTGGATTGACTTCCTCAGAAATCCATATTTACAGAGATTGAGTCAGTTAAAAATTCAGTTAAATTATCTGAGCAGAGCAAATTTTCAGGAAATACAAATAGTGGCGGTTAAGACAAGAAAGAGACAAATGCAAGAAACTTCCTAAAGCTTTTGAAATCAGTTAGATAAGCACAGATCCTTTTGAAATTACAACCTGTCCCTTCCCTATCTGTGTAGGAAAATCAGAACTCTAGGAGAGTTCATTAATGTGATACTTGAGCAAAGTGCTTGGAACTCAGTCCTTACTGGATGGGACTTCAGTGCTCAAATGACCCAAATGTATATTGGGAAGTTACCTCATCTGCAATTGTGTCACTAGTTAGCCATGTAAACTTCTTCKGAAAATCAGAAATGTTTTCAAAGGCAGGAACCAGAAAAAAGATTAGTGACCAAAGAAACAAGTAAGCATGGTACAGAGCTTAAAAACATAAGCTGATACTGGTATTACTATCTATGCAACATAAAATGTAGATTTTCAGCTCAGAAAAGCTAACCACCCAGACTACAACTTCTCTTACCTGTAGAAGGCCTGCAAATTTAACTACTCCCCATCCAAGTCTGGCAACATCTGGTTCAACCAAACTCATCTGGTAAATATCCACAGCCAGGAATCTTTGAACTTGACCCCCATCCTTTGTTATGACAGTACAAGCAATTAGATCGCTGTTATCTAAAGGAAGGAAGGAAGGAAGAAGGTTACATAATCACTGAAGCTGAGGATTCTGGGGTTTGGGTATTTAACGCAACAGAAAATGTTAATATATAAAAATGTGTTTATATTTAATATATAAAAATATATATATGTTAATATATAAAAATGTTAATATATAAAAATAATCTTGACGACACATAGAAAGCTTCTGATCACTTTTTTAACAGGTATTTCAATTGCTAATCATAGTTATCAAGGGCAAAAAATATTTTAACCATACTGGTTGAGACATCTCACAAGTTAAATATAAAATGGGTACTAAGCATCTTCCTTTCTCTTTCTGTTACCACCTATATTAACYTTCATCTCAGGGGTGAAATTGCAACAGTGCCAATTTCTCTCACTCTGGAAATCTCAAAAATTCTTGTTACCACAAGACCACAGACAGACCCTACATCACCGTAGGCCTTGTTATAAAAGGCCTACCTTGTTATAAACTTTGGCTCTTGACACAAGTTACTTCTGCACAGGTCTGAAACCTGACTATTCTGACTGCTGGACACCCTTCAACTTCAAGTCTGTTTTTGACTCTCCAGGTAAATTGTAGCAGCTTTTGGACAATTATTTCATTTGACCTGAATTCCTGGAGCAGTCCTAYTCTTCTCAAGACATGAAGTGCTTGAATTAGGACCCTTCCAAATACTAAATGTCAGACTCTATGAATTTTGAATCTATTGAGATATTCTCAACAAACAGGCCAGAACACCAGAGTTTTGGAGCTCTCAAATACTACTTTTTGACCAGTATTTACAAAGTTTTAGTGCAACAGCAAGCAGATTAAAACACCTGCTGTACAAATTCAAGTGTCCAACTGCAGAAATGCAGTACTTCAAGATCTCAAAGGACAGAAATTGCTTTCCAGAAAAGGAAGTTTTTTAATTTTGGACCTGACAACACCTTCAAGTAAAGCATTACTGTAAAAGTCTTTCAAAGAACAGAAAGTTACTCATTTACTAGGGAACTGTTACAGGAATCCTTTAAGTCTGTACAACTAAATGTGGTCCATTTACATGACTGCTTCTAGTTTACAGCTGCTGAAGGGTCATAAGCTGTCATCCTTGATGACAAAAACAGAAGAGAAAGTGTGGTTAAACACATTTCCAGTGAACTGATCTGAGAATATTTACAGCCATGCTATGAAACACTTACAGATACCCAACCACATTCAGATGAAAATATCAAGCCCAGTAAACTTCAGTACTATTCAAATTTGGTCTGRGGATTACAGTGAACCACAGGGTTTTGAATGGCTTCCTGATAAGACACTGCTGCAAAGAACTGTGGTGTACTTTCTGTGATTAGCAGCAATGACTAATTTCTCCTCATGCAAAATGAAGCTTGTAACCAGTCTGGACACAACACCTCTATGACATGGATCCAAGATTTCTCTGGACTTTCTCCAAGAAAAAAACATGTTTTAGGAAATACAGCCAAGAAAGGAAAGTTCACAGACCTCAGCAACCTGCAGTGCTAAAGATGTAAATTAAGGGAAATAGTTCCCAGYGTTTATGAAATACTTGCCTGAAAATAATGTATTGTAAGAAATCTTTATAAATATAACAGCTATTTGAGATGGTCTAAATGCACCTGATCTGCCTCAGGGCTTGCTCTATAATGATTTTACAATTTACAGTCATCACAATTCCAGAAATCATCTACATTAAAAGCTCTGACAGAAAACTTYTAGCCCTTTGTATGCACAGCTGGCRGCCTGAGATAAGCATTAGGCTGGAGATAGTGAATGCACCACCTCCCACTTCACAGGAAGAACTCTTCCCAACAGCAGGCAGCCCATCTGGGATGACATTCTGCTTTACTACAAAAGCAACCAAACATGACTCCACCTTGTTCCCGTTAAGTACACTTAGTTGAAATTAGAGGATGTGCCCCATGTCATACACCTGCATTACATTTTGGTCTTTATTCTCCTTGCTGCAAATATGACAACAAGCTGTCCTGGGCAACCTTTTCTAGCTGACCCTGTTTAGAGCAGAGGGTTAGACTAGGTGATCTCCTGAGGTTCTTTCAAACCTCAGTTATTCCACCATAAACTTTTTTCAAATCTTTAAAAAAAAAAAATTGACTTTGAAGCCCTTTTTGAAGCCTGTATACTTATCAGAGACAGAGTGAGCAAGGAGATTTAACTATGACGTTCCTTTTTTTGGTTTCAGCAAAGAAATAACAGCATTRAATGTATCCTCATTTGCCTCTTGGCCATGGCATTTAAAACATTGCCACCAACAGAATCCTGTTACCACCTGAAGAAACCAAACACTGGGCTGTTAATTTGAGCTGCCAGTGAACTTCATCCAGTGAGCTGCTAAAGAAGGCTAAGAAGACACCTAGAGCCTCACAGGCAGTGTGAGGCAGACAGTTATCACATCATATGTAACTGCTTCAAAGCAATTTAGAGTAAAAAAGCACTGAAAGGTAACAGTTGGAATAATTCTGCTGACAGCCTCCAGCACTACAGAATGAACCTGCTGTGGAATTACCCAACTCTCTATACCTACATTCATCTATAGTGCTGACAACCTTGCAACTACACCTAAAGGTTCACATTCAACATATGCACATTAAAATATTAAAAATGCTTCTTCACGAGAAACTTTAATGTCTCTCATCAAGCTCCCATAAAACATCATCATTGCATTCAGGCAAAAGGGAAAAAGGTGCATTTTGACAGTTTACAGCATTTTTCAAAATCAAAACAGTAACTGGAACCATTCTTGGGTCATGTTAAGCTCTACTGCCTCTTGACATTATTTGTATATAAACAASCATAAACACTAAAGGCCTTTTAATGTTCAGAGGAATTTTAAAATCTTTGTACTAACAGAGATTGAGGAAACTGTTACATCACCAATATCTCCAGTAAGTAAGAATAGTGGTAATAAGCAGTTTAGGAGAATTTTTTTTTTCTTCATGTCATACTATTTAGAAAATTAAGGGTCTACTTACTCAAATCAAGAACATCATCTGCCTTTATCAGATCTCCCTCCCTYGTAAGCGGTAACTGAGTTTCTAGTTCACCTTGCAAGTGCAGTGACAGTGAACGGAGCATAAAGAAAACTCTGATTGCCTTGAGAAATTAAAGAAAAGAATATTAAAATATTTTTACACCCAATACTGCATATTTTATGAGCATCTTACAAACATATGCTGGCTTTTACAAGTCTCAAGTTTACTGGCCTACAGTAAATTTTTTTAACACATATAAAACTGAAATTTTAAATTGAAAAAGCAGAATGTAATTTCCCACTTAGTTAAAAGAAGACATATGAAAGAAGCTGACACATGCTATTTATTTCCAATGAAGTAGAAGCAGCACAGCTTTTGTCCCACTGGCACACACAGACTGTGACTTACAGGGAAACGATTACAGGAGCTGCTTAAGCAAAAACAACAATCTTGGATTTTTTTTATTTAATCATTATTTTAAGACTGATTGTATTTGCAAAGCTTGTATGCTACAGACACCTATACAACCAACCTTCAGAGATTCCCACATTTTGAACTTAAAACAGTAATAAGTTTCCTGGCCAAGTCTAGCTAAGATGTCTACAAGTTAAGAGAGAAACASAGGGGATTTCTGCATTTTACTTTGCTGTGGTCATCAAAACTAGCCACATGCAATGTAACATTCTTGGAGCACTTAATTTATATTCTCAGAAGGTCTTTATCAGAGCAAAGCATTCTGAAAGCTGCACCAGTCGCAAGAAACTTTCAACAGCTGCTTTGTGAAATGAGTATGCTAGTTTTGATTTACAAATTYATGACATATGGTATGCAAAGACCCAAAGTGTCAAAGAACAATCATTTTATTAGCCACRTTTTGAAAGGCACCATTTATAATCCTCTTTCCCAACAAGAACTGCATTTTCAGTATAGCAAATRAAAAATCATTTTTTATTACTTCCGGTGTTCTGCTTTTTAAGAGTTTCCTACAGAGTAATTCTGTGGCATACTGTAAATTAACTGCTGCCTTACAGTAAAAGCACTGAATTCATGAACAGCTGCAGTGCCCAGAAACTCCCAGATTGCAGGAAGTATTAGGAAAAACAAATCTAAAGTGCTTTAAGGGAAAACCCTGCACTCCTCTATTTTTAAAATCAACAGAATGGTGGCTCCTGTGAAGCAGAAATGTGAGTGCTTGGCCAGCTCTCTACCGGCAGAGCTTCCAGAAACTTCTGGCAGAACAGGGATGAAAAGAGGGAAGCCATGTATCAGGCTCTTCCATGAAATTACACCAAAGCAATGAYGTTAGTATGCTGTTGAATTCTAACAGGACAATATGATTATGTGGAGCAAAGGATGTCAAGCGTATATAACAAAAACAATAATTAACTACTTAATTCATAAGAACAGARTCACTTTAGAATGGGAAATCATCTCTCCCATTTAGGCAGACTRCATTCTAATGTATTGTGGACTTACTGAAATTATACAAGATTGCTATAAAGCAGTTTGCTACCACATGTTTCAAGAATAATTTACAGTATTTGGTTTAAAACTTGCCAAATTCAATCAAGTATAGGAAAATCTTGGCACTTTTTGGTAACCCAAAGGTCAAGTCCAACAAGGTTTTTTTTTGGGACATTTTAAAATTTGTAGGGTAACCACTACTGAGCTTTCACTTAYCTTCCCCCTCAAACCTCTTCCTCCSAGACCACATTAATTTTTATCACATTCATTTGCTATTATATTAATGGCATTCTTCTCCAAACACGTATTAGTGCAGAACAAAGTACAGGAACAAAAGATAAAATTAGAACTTTAGCTTTGGGAAAAAAAMCCAAAAAACAACCAAGAACATCAGATGAAATGGGAACCATGCTGTGCTTCCTACAACACCGACAGCGCTCAGTTTGTTAGCAGTAYCAATAAATGGTGCTTTTCCATATTTTATCACATCTCAACAAAACAACAGAAAAGTTCAGTGGTCCAGAAATTTTTCAGCTGACTTTGTTTTCTCTTTTAAGTTGGAACAAATATGGATTTCTATGTTCATTAAAGAACTATGCATTACAATGATGATTTCCTTATTTATACACACACACCATGTGCAAAGAAACAGCAATTTGCAGGGAAACCTACCACTATCTTACTACATTGCCAAGRAAAAGTGTTCTTAGTACTTCAAAAACTTCTCAAAGTGAAATTTTTAAGAGCTCCTCCTAAAGTAAAGAAAAGAAGAGCTGCCACTTAGAGGGACTTTCTGTAGCAAGGAAGAAGTAAGATCCTAACAGTTAAGAACTCATAATATAATCAAAATAAGGGACAATTTCACTTGCTAGGGAAATGAAAATTGAGAACTTTTTTTGAATCATGTCAGAGGATGCACAGAATCGAATTCCTTTCATTTGAAACCATCAGCAATATCTCAGCAGCTTAAGTGGCAGCAGCAATGTCACAAGGTATACCTGAGTTCAGCATATTCTCATGACAATTTTCAGCTAAGGCAAGGCAGCCTGGCTGGAAGGAAGCAGCACAGGAATTGAGGAGGTACTAAAACCTGAGCGTAATGTGACTGGGGAAGGAGGAMCAACAAGGAAGCAATTCTGGGAATTCTTCCAGATGATAGAGACCCTTCCATCCTATAGAATCTACAGGAATATTAGTATTGATTTTTTTATTTCCACCAACAGAAGTTAAGCTATTYCTTATTTAGCACATCAAAATCCTGGAACGATCATTTACCACTAATGCGCATTTCTAAGTATCCTTCTGTTAAATGCCTCATAAGAGAATTCCAGGAAACATTTCTGCTTTCTAAGAATAATACTTTTCAAAATAATTCACTGTATTTTATCAGGCATCTTGCTGTGATAACAAAAGCTGTATGGCTTATAACAAGYAGTGAAAACAAATCTTTTCAGAAGATTCCTGGAAATGGGKTTTTTTTCTTCAAGAGTACTTGAATAAACTTACATAACACACTTACATTACTGCATGAAATCATTATTTGGAAAGTGCTGTTCTCTGAGTTTCTTTGCGTTTATGTATCTCAGACTTACTGACACAAGGATTCCAGGACACAGCCAGATAAGGGCCATGAACTGATTAAACAACGAATGGAAATAAGGATGTTGTCCTTATCAGTATCACCGCTACAGATTGTGTCAGTCACTAAAATAGWTATTTTGCTGGTTTTCTCCTCATTTTCAAGATCTCTATCATGAACTATTTCAGCAAGATGAACTGTCAAGTAAAATTAATTTTTTTTTTGCCATGTCTAGAAACATGAGCAATATGGAGCCAGTCAGCCTCCCATGGTGGTTCTTACTGTAGGAATATAATTGAGAGATAGACTGAGACAGCAGATGACAAAAGAAGCTGACAATACATTGAGTGTCATCAAAATGCCTTTGTACGTAACTGTCTTCATGCTCTGAAAAAKTACAACTCCAGTGCAAGACCACGCTACATTGACTAGACACAAGAAGCCAGAAAAAAAAGTTTCCCCACTGGGGCAGGTAATTATTATATACTCTACACAGATTTGTCTTCAACAAGCTTTTATGATTTTATGGATGAAGCTTCCAATCAAGCAATTTTCAAAGAAAAGTGTTTGTATTCCTGGAACTGCTCRAAGACTTTGGCATCATTTTGTCATGAAGAAATATAAGAAAAATAGTCTTACTCACTCTTCGTGTTCTTTCCACATCTCCACAAGGCAACCTTTTCACAAAATCAATACCAGTCAGTGGTGTCCCCGTTGGGGGTAACAAGATTGAAGCATCCATCATCAAGTATTCTACATTCATAGGTTTCATCTATAAAAATATTTCAACACTGATTATTATACAGAACAATAAGCAGTTGCCTCCTTAGTTTAAAACACAATTCAGTGCCACATATTCCACAATTCTGAGATTTTTTAATACCACGTCTTATTTAAGATCCTTACATGCTAACCTCTAATCTATATTTGCTCACTGTTCCCAGACACACTGGCCAAGTTTCCATACTGATAAAACACAGGAAGAACTCCAGAAGATTACAAAAGGAAATATTTCCCAAATACTAAAAAMCAAATTTTGCCAGGTTTCATTTTCAGTTTTGACTTATATTTGTGATTATTTCAATCAAAAGAAAGTTTCTCATAACCTTTTGTCTCTGAAAAGAACTTTCTCAAAACTGAGACCTTGCTGAGCTTCAGACAGATATAGGAAGATTTTCATATCRTTTAGAGAAAAAAAAAATAAATCCAGTGCCCTATTTAGTAGGCTAAAGTAATTTTTATATACTCAATTTTAGAAAGCAATGAAACTTTATTAAATAAAGAGCTGTGAAATTTCACATAAATGATTTAAGTATAAACACAACTTCTCAGAGACAAAAACACCACCCACATTTTGTTCTCCTATTCCCAGCAATAAAGACCCCAGTGTTCTGAGAAGCTATCAGTACTTTTTCTTTTCCCTGTGCCATATCTGAGTTTGAGGATTTGGCAGGGCACAAGGGGTCTCACTTACTGTCATACTCCGGTATTCATCTTCAAACATATCCAGGAAAATTTCTTCTCCCTTTCAAAAGAAAGCAGATGGACATGCCATGACCCCTTGGTGCTTTGAAGCTTTGTTAAGTTTGGTTATGTACAGAGTGTCTGTGAGGGGAGGCTGGGGCTGCAGGACACTGCTGAGCCCTTCAGCAACACTGATGGCACTGCTGGGAAAACACATTTAGGAAAGGGAGAGAGATTCCTCTGCAGCCCCTGGAGGACCATGGCGGAGCAGGTACCCACTCTGCTGCAGGCAGATGTGCTCTGAAGGAGCTGCAGGCCCCACACTGAGGCAATTATTTTCCTGACAGAATGCAGCCCATGGAGAGGGGACTCACACTGGGACAGGGGAAAGTGTGAGGAGGAAGAAGCAACAGAGAGAATCTGTTATGGACTGACACCCAATCCCTATTTCCCGTCACCCCTGCACCACTCACAGCAGGAGAAGGTTGAAGAGACAGGAATGAAGCTGAGCCTGGGACAAGGGAGAGGTGGGGGACAGCAATGTTTTAATTTGCCTTTGTTTTTCACTATCTGATTTTTTTTTTTKGCAATAAATTCATTTCTGTGAAGTTGAGTCTGTTTTGCCCATGACTGTAATTGGCAAGTRACCTCCCTATTCTTTATCTTGACAAGATATTCTATTCTCCATCCTGTTGAGGAAGGACAGTGAGAGAGCAGCTGAGTGGACCTCAGCAACCAGCCAAGGCCAACCCCCCACAAGTTACTTGTTTTTTGTAAGCCACATTGAGCAAACATTCTTCAACAGAATTCTAAGAAAAACAGGAAGATATTTCAGACACKTGAAATCTGTCACGGATTTACTGCTCTTTACATAGAAGTTAATGCCTAAGGCTAAAAATTTTATTTCTTTCATTGCAACACACAGACAAAGTAAAAAACTTTGCAAAGGTTTCCAATCAGAAAAAAAGATTAAGTAAAACTTAGATCACCATTTCAGATGACACAAACCAAAACTAATGTCAAAACCAAGCATATGCTGCATCTGTGCCAATGATAAACTTCATCTCCAGTACAAACTCTGTGAGTCTTCCAAMAGCCCTTTGTGAGGTATGTCAGGGTGGTATGGGAAGGGCAGGAAAGGCGAGGAATCCTCCAACAAAAAACTACCTTCTCTTACAAATTTGGAGTTCCCATCTTAAAAAAAGTGCTGCTTTGGGCAGTATTTAAAGACTGGGCTGCAGATATTCCCCGTTATGCAAAGGACTTTTCCCTTACTGCATTTTGCATATATACCTTGTAGAAACTACGAAGGAGATGAACACTTTCCTCTCTTGCACCCTAGAAAGAGAAAATGCATTTCAGGGAACACATACACCACTTACTCATTAGCCACATTAAAAAACCCACCCAAAAACTGATACAGAAGACTATCTATTAACATCCCTATTCATGGCCTTAATCCCAGAATTTGACTGAATACAGTCCTTGCACCTATGAAAATAGAGCTTATATGAGCTCATTAGTTTCAAAAGCACTTTTCGTTACATTATTGAGATGGATGACCAAATTTCAGAGAGAAAATGAAACACAAAACTGTTTGAGAAGTTACAAGTTAAAATAGCAAACCTGAGAACARAACRTAAGTTATTATGTTCACTGMACAGAGCTACCAATGCAAAAATGTTCTAGAAATTCAAATTTCACATTTAGGCTTACTGCAACCAGAAATCAGCAGATTTATTCAACTATACTATGAGACTCTGACACCGGTAATGCAGTGACTGGTAATTTGAAAGAAAATACTCACCTCAAGACAATCAAGGTGAACACTTTTTATGATCCTGCCATTTTTAGAAAACACCAGCTGCTTCAGCAATAGGCAGCCAAGTTCTAAAGTTGCCAAACGAATTTTTCCATCTATGAAAAGAAAATTTCAATAYACAAAATAGCAGCAGTTTAATTGTAGCTCTTCCCATCATCCCACGATCTTAAATGTTTCTACTCTTCCTGCAATTTGTMAAGCTTTGCTCCTCTGTCACACCCCCCATATCTGACAGGGATGAGGGCTGATGCTGCCTTACAATGCTGTGGGCTGTAGAAGAAAAAGAACTGGAAGACTAATTTAAAGCAGAAGAAAAATTAAAGCAGAACCATTCAACAAAAAGGTAAAGCTTAATAGTAGTGAAATAAGGCCAAACCAATGCATTTATCAATCTGCACATGTTGAATTATGCTAAAATTACAAAAGGATTCCAGACATTTGGCATGGATAAAGTTACAAGGTGAAAGGCTTGTATTTAGCATACTAATCATAGCTTTTCCTTCAAGACAGAGAAGGAGAAGTTCTACATAACATGCAGCAAGATGAATAAAAATCCCCCATTTCCACCCTTCCCCAGCACTTCTCTCCCCAGACATGCCTTTATTTAAATAAATGCATATCCTCATTTGCACTCGTTCCTGCTGCTGTATGTACAAACTCTTCATATATAAACATGTTTTTAATCTTTGGCACATCAGCACAAGTTAATGTGCTGTGGATCTTKCAAGTCAAATAAACATCAGGTTTTTACTCTACAGACAATGAAAAATTTGATAGTGTGKCAGTTTCTGGAGGAAACCAGTCTGACCCATTTGAAGTTTTAAGGGGGGACGCGCAAGGAGGTGTAGCTTGAACAAAAATCATATTTTCATGGAATAGGTCATGGAACATTGTAACTCTCATGTCATAAAAAAGCTGAATGAAAATAAGCCCTCATTTTCTGCAAAACAGCTCAGAACTGAAAATACAATTTGAGATAAAAAAAGGGGGGAAAATTTGCTACCACCTAGAGGTGATAGCCAAAGGACTCCTATGAGCAAGGATACCATAGTTTTCAAATCTATTTCTCCACTAGAATTATTTTTATAACCAAGGTGCCACAGATCACAATTTTAGGATGAAATCATACATTAAGGTGAAACCACTCAAAAACACAATTTTTGWTTATTCTAAAGTGCAGAAAGTAGGAATTAAGACAACAGTTCYTTGTATAGTTCTGAGTATAAAAACAGTTACTCAGCACCAATCCAGAGTTTCTGCTTCCTCAACAACAAGAAAAGCCAATAGTTGTCTTTCACAAACGAGGTCTACTCGTTTGTAGTACTGCTGTGGGTACTGACAGTGGGTACTGCTCATTGAGGAACATGCTGAACAGGCACCTTCCCCTCAAAGACAAGAGACTAAGTAGCTTCTTTTCTATCTTCAAAAATTTTAGCTTGGAAGGAAAACAAAYCCTAGAAAAGCAATACCTGGTTGTGCAGCATAACTCATTATCCTGATGAGCCTTTCTGCAAGGACATGATTATATGAATTTCTCTCTTCAGCATGTTGAGCTGGAAGTTGAATTCTTTCCAGCTTGACTGAGTCRAGTCCTTTCATGGAGTGAAGGAAAAAAAAGGCAAATTAGAAAACAGGAGAATCCCCCAAGGCAAGCCTTTAATAGATCACAGCAGCTTTCTCAGAAGAGAACAATTAGCAAGAGGAAACCAGGCAAGTTAGCCTTAAATTTGTATTACAAGGAAATAGAGGATCAAGAGAAAGACCAAACACATTGATGAATCCCTGAGAATTCTCAGCCTTAAATTGGGCCTGCAGGGTGAAGACATTCAAATCCCAAAGTGGTTGGTGAAATGTAAACTATTTTGCTACTTCTGAAATTCTCTGTTTATTTGTTTGCATCTGAATCAAATCAAAGTCAAGCCATACATCTCGGGAGCATAATGGTAAAAGGGGAGAAGATCAAAGTCTGATTTTAAATTCTGCTGTGGTAGTTAAGTAATCTGTTCATACATGTTTAAAAGAAATGGGAATTTTATTTTGTAGTAGCCCYGTTTAGTATCCTCCCCAACAAATAAAATTTTCACTGACTTGTTATATAAGGAAACTRATCCTATCTTTCTTTAACATATTCCTCTAAAATATCGAAATTATTTSTCATAAAAGTCTGGTTTGCTGTGAGACCCCTTAGAACAACACACAATTATGGATTACTGGGATCTCCCTATCTCACTCTAAAGAACAGCAATAAACAGCCCCATAAAGCAGAAGATGACTCTACTGAGGTTTACAGTTTCTTCCAACCCGGGCCTCGCAGTTAACTCTACATAACAGCACTTACCTTTGTTGTGTGACATTGCATATAAAAGACAGAGCACAAAGAGGGCATAGTAATCATCTTCAGGACAGTCCAGTGCATTATACACCATATCAAGAAAAGGCCTAGGAAAAAAAGTAATTTAGAAAGAGTAAAAAAAAAAAACCTATAGAAAAATAGGTAACTATCGTATTGTACAGGTAGTCAGCTAATGGAAGAGGGAAATTACAGTAATGCACATTTTCAGGCATATAAGAAAAGAGTTTTGTTACAGAGTTACTCAGGTTACAGCCATGCTTTGTATTTACATTCTGATAATAATTCTGATGTTTTAACAGGATTTGTTCCATAGTACCTTCCCAAGAACTGATTGTTCAAACATTTGTTGTAGCCTGTTTAGTACGTATGCAGAAGCATTGTAGAGCTTTTTTTAAAAGTGGATATGTAAGTAAATTCAGGGAACTGCTATCACTGTTGCATAAAGGACTACCTTAAAACTCATCTACTAAACAGAGTTRGAAAGTTCTTACCATTACTTGTAAGCATTTTTACCAGAAGTTTGGAGGAAGCTAGGCTATTCTAAAACWACATTGTACTGTCCAACAGTTAGAGGAAAGAAAAAATAACTAGGAGGGAATATTTGAAGAAAAAAAGGCTTTGTATTGCAGATGATCTTTGTTTTCCTGAGTTTAAGAATGTGTGACCTCTGACACATATACAGGAGCTTACAAACAATGCCAAGTTCACCTTTCCTTTACCCGTACCTGGAGRGACAACAAAAACCAGTGTAATCCAGAAAGCATTTGGACAGATCAGATATGGCTGAGATTCAGCTGACATTAGCACAGGCCTGATGGCAAGGGAGCTTGGATTCTTGTCTTAAGCTGGCTTGCATCCAATCAGTTGTACAAGCTCAGAATACAAGCAAAAATTAAAAATATTTTCACAACTGGCCCAGATAAACAAATGATATGTCAGGGAAGTGTCACAGGCACCAGAAGATGACAATTGGGAAGCCCARAGTGAAAAAAGTGAATTCCTACCTTTTAAACTATGCTTCAACAGTGAAAGGAAAAAAAAATTCTTACATTATTTAAATTATATTCAAAGAAAATAYATTAAAATAACATCAAAGTCACAGAACCAAAAACACATTTTGCTGTGTACAGGCCCGGCAGACGAGAAGCTGCACTACAAACTCACTGCTGTGGTCAGCTGGGGGTCAGAGGGACTGGCAAAGACCAGAACACAACACACTTCAATACCTACTCCAGACCTGTGGCGCCATCACGGTCACACCCAGTGTGTCCCAGGAAAGCCAAATCATAACAAAGCACTTGAACTTCCCGGCAGCTCCAGGCACATTTCAGCAGCATGTTCTCTTTACTGAAACAAGGCAGTGACCAGAATCACAGCCCACGCTGCTCCCTGCTCGGTTCATGCCACGGCAGCTCATCTGTGCATTTCTGAGCATTACACACATCCTCTACCAGAAATGCCACCAGTAATGATCCCTCTTTACCCAAATTCCACACTCAAAGTGCTTGAGTCAAATTGCTCACATACTGTAGATGTCAAAAGAATGTAACTACTCAAGGGAAAACAWCCTAAATAATGAGCAATGTTGAAAATCAGCCAAGAGGGCGTTCAGGCTTCCTAAGCATTCAATAAGCCCTACAAGGCTCCTGTCCCACTCAAAAGGGGGGCTTTGCACACCACAAAGGGAGCTCAGCTTCAAGGTCTGAAAAACAGACCCAAGGTCTGAAAAGGACCAAGATATTAAAATACTTCAATGCAAAATAGCACTGGGTTTGTTTTCACACCAGCAACTGACAATAAACAACTTAAAATCTAACCTAAAATATAAAAGTAATATTTAATATGTTATTTTTAATATAATGTTTTTAAAGCCAATGTTTTACAAGGTCAAAGCTGCTGAGGTATCAGTAGTCCCATTAACACCAATATTACACAGTATTAAATGACTTCWGTAATGTCTAATGCATTTTTCATTGTTTTCCCCCACATACTAATTAGATTCATGACATTACAGAACTTGGAAAAAAATACTACAGCAGTAAGAGAAATCATTTTCATTGCAGATCTATCTGYATTATCTGTCTCAGCCACAATAACCTGAGGCTGAAACAACTTCCAAGAATCCCACTCACCAATGGTCCTCATTTAGACTAAATAYACAATAGAGTCACAAAAACTTCAGCCTAAGAAAACAGCAACAGAAGCCACAACATAGCATGAAGATTTGACATGCTTTGGAAAAGAGCTTTGCTGTGCAGCATTGCATAAAATGAAGTTAATTTAGAACATGTCTTTAAGCTTAAACTTTCCAGTAGTGAGGCCCATCAAAATAAAATTATACCTAAAATACTTAAGCTTTCTCCTTTGTTTTTCACAGTAGGAAAAGGGCTAAAGGAAATKAAAAACTTGACTTAGCTTTTACAGCTGCAGATTTTTAACTGCTATTTGTGTTGTTTTCCATTGCTTTTCCAGCAACTATTGAACTATTATAAAAAACCCCCAGTATGCATAGTAAAGTCTACATGGTAAGTATTTTCAAATGTATTTCTTAACTCTGTAAGCATTTGCTTCCTTTGCTAGTCTTTTACTAATGGCTTGATAGGAGAAGCAGATCAAATGCCATACAWGTGTTCCTCAAATTATTTATTCTTGGGGAATATGTCCCCAGTTCAAGACTTCAGCACACTAGGAAGCACTGTCACCACAACCACTAACGATTATTCCAGGTGTGCAAGTTCCATGGCACAGAGATCACTGCATTTTCCACTTCCACATGGTACCTTATCCACAATGCTCAGTGATTCCAACCAGRGTAGGACAGAGACTATACACACTTGAGCAAGCCTCTTGAGAAATTCAGCTACTGTTTCAAATAYTACATCTGGCATATAAAATAACACAAAATCTTAAGCTATAGCAGCTGATCCACTGATATTTAAAAAAAAACCCACACAGAACAAAGGCCAGAATTACCCTACACAAGACATATCCTTATTTCAAAAATATTTTTAGCAGTGCATATGCTTTGATGTTTATTTTTAGAAAAGATGCAGGATGCTGTGAGACCACATCTACAGTCCAAGAGTCCTGAACTGCAGACATTTGCCAAATGCATTGGCAGCTCACATCAGAGCATTCTGCACTTTTCSAGACCTGGCCACCCCAGTCACTTTAGTATTCCATGCACTCACTGCCAATTTCTTTCTAAAAGCCATTTGGCACATATTTTAGTCAAATTATCAATAATCCAGAACAATGTGTTTTAAAGCCAGTTCAAGTCAAGGTTCAATTTCACTTTTACAATGAAATGAAATGTTATCTTTATTAATGAATGTAATCTAAACTACAAAGCTATAATGGAGACAGAATGAAATTCTGGGAATACCAGGCAGCATTTCCCAAGTTCAAAAATAAATTTAAAATCCTATCAAACATATGCATTTCCCCAATGGACAYATTAGCAATTACTTTTGTGTCAGGCACATACGGTTTTTTAATATTCTATTAACAGGAATGCAAAATTCTTACTGAGAAGGTGTCTTAGGGCTACTTAAAATAACCAAGTTTAAATTCTGAAGTCAGGATGATTTCTGCTCCCAGAAACACTTATAACCTGTATTTCCAGTAGAAGTTTTCAATAACTCACTAATGGACCCTGGAAACAGTACAAAGGTCACAAGGGTTTGTCTATAACTATTACTACTAAAATTCTGCCAAATTCAGCCATGAAATGAGGAATTTTTTTTCGTTTTTTCTTTACAGATGCCTATGAAGTAGACAAATGCAACCATAAATATATTTAAGAAAACTTCTGGCTTAATTCAAGAGGTTTAGAAAATTATGGAATGAAAACATTCATATTGTGCTTTTGTTGTGTAACTATTCTGTAATTTAACTTTACCAACTTAATACATCACCACTGCCATGAAGGGAAGCACAAACTACAAAGGAACAGGATAATTTCCAAAACCAATCAATAGAGAGGCTACACCTCACTTTTCTGTTGATTCACTCACTTGTGATCCAGAAGTTCCCTTGTAATTTTAGCTTGAAGCAGATTTAAAACATCCCTTAAGAGAAGTGAAAGAGTTAAGGGGAGGGCAGGTAAGGAAGCAATTCAGCAAAATCTCTTACAGTTCCTTTATACCTGTTCCAGTTTGTTATCTCACTCCCAGAAGCAGCTGCACTCTTTTCTTCATCTGTTGTATTCTGTTCTGTCACAGTGGAGATAGACAGCTCTGACAGCTTACATCTCTCCATGATTACCATCTCTATTTCTAAAAAAAACCCAAAAGCACCAAAAATCAAATCAAAAACCAGCAAAATTTGATATTTTGAACAAAGTTGTCTCAAGCTCTTTTGTATTTTCTGTTTGGCATTAAGTGTCTCATGCATCTATATATAAGAGGTATAACCATTAYCTCAGGTTAATGAATGAACATTATTAGATRTAGGCAAACTTTCTTCCCAGTAAAGAACTTGGCTTACATTTCTTTAAGGAATGTAACACTAYATGAAATGCATAAATATACATAACATATGTAAAGAAAATTTAGCTATCATTTTGGCAAATAAARAAGCCACAGTAAGCTCCCTTCCCACGCAAACCACAGGAAGAAAAACCATAGAACCTCTTTCTGAAAAAGAGATTTGTGAAAAAGCTGGTGAGACCGGGGCATGTGTGGACATCATGTTTCACTGAGGGTGTAAAACAGGCCTCTACAATTGCAGCAAMCAGGACACCTCGTCCCCAGTGCTTCACCTACTGACTTTCAGTAGAACTATTGGGACCAAATCTTGGGTTTTAGCAATCTTTARGAATTTGGACAAGAATGACAACTAAATGCACCAGTTTAAACAGTATATTTTTTCASATTTTCTCTAAATCATGGTAGACAACACACCATCAGTTATTTGACATTTGACACCATTTAAGGAAAGCCTTCTCAARCAGACTGTCTACCCAAATCTAAATTCAACCATGTTTGGGCAGGACTGTCAAAGCACAACACTCTTGTGTTCAATTGCTTGCATGCAACCCTGCCACATTTATGTTTAATGTAAGTACTGAGATACAACCTTCTAAAACTTAGGAACTATAAAATAAACAGTTAAAATATGCTGTAAGACCAATCCTCCTATAAAAGCACTTCTTAGGTTTGTGCTACATAAAAATCCTGAAAATGTCCAATTAAAAAAACSTACGAGTTAAAGATGTTTTCAGTTTTGAACTATTCAATATCATCTTCTATCACATACTGCCACTTTCAGAACACCTGTTCAATTTTATCATTGAAACTTGCATAAAATACTGCTGACCATCTTGCAAAGGTGAAGTGGCTTCAGCTCTGCCTTACCACAAAAGGACAAGCTACAGTTGTCAAGTCTACTTAACAAGTGCCCACAACCACAAGGCACAAGGTGTGCATTGTGAGAAGAGCTGAGGCCTATGAGCAGMTATGAAAACACTGTCATAGCTTTTAGTCACATTAGACATACATGTTCTGACAGTATGATTTAACATGAGAAAAAAATCCAGCTGAAGAATTATACAAATGTAACAGCCCCATGTTTATATAGTGCAACAGGAGAGCAATCACATAACAAATCACAACTGGGTTCATGCAGTAAATAAAAGTACCTAAATTGTAAGCATCATTTTCTTGCTGGAACACTCACCTTCATTTTCAGTGCTTGTTCTTATGCTCTTTGAACTTGCTTCTGTACCTTTACTTTTATCAAGGTCATCTTGGTTATCTTCAGATCCTCTCTCCTCTTCATCTTCTTCACCAACATTTTTATAGTTGGGTCTTTTCTGCATCCTYTTCCTCCCTTTCTGTTTGTTAATTTCAAGAGACCTCTCAAGTGTTTCTGTTGGTTTTATGAAACATCTGATACTTGACTTTGCCTGTAAATTCRAAGAGTTTAAACTGAGTTACAGCAAGGCATTTTGCAATGTAATTTATAAAGAAACTTCAGTTCATATAAAATGTAAATTAGCACACTATTCACAAATCTCAAATCCATTTTAAAATATAGAAGTTGCACCAAACCATCAGTAGCACAATTATCTCCAAAGCAACAGACTCCAAAGATCTTTCATTAAAAAGTGTGCCTTCTTGAGACAAGAAGAGAGAGAACTACCTATTTCATCACTACATGTTTTAAAATGCTTTTCCCTTCTTTGAAGGGATGAGACAGATAGTTCATATGTAATTGAGACATCTTTTGTAAAAAGGATAAAGGCAGCCAAATCCTAATGTGTGTTGACAGCAGTGTATTAATATGAAACACCCCCTTTTTAAAGGTCCTTGGCAGTGGCAAGCAGAAAATCCAACGCTATGTGCTGCGAGGCTTTGGGTTGGGTTTTTTATTTTGGAGTCTTATGCCTCCCTGAACAGCAAACTAATTCTTGTATCAACCAGGAACAATGACACTGCCATTAACCCTTTTTGGGTCTCCAGACATTGACTTATCAAGTCTGGAAAACCAACTTCATTTGTTACTGCAAGAATCTCTGCAAATAGATGGGCTAACAAAACTTGGTTYACTACATTTCTGCAGCTCGTTTCTGAGCTCTGCTGCTTTGAGCTCCCCTCTCACTGGCTAGGCCTGCCAGCTGATCATCACAGTTCATTATAAACATTGATCAGCCAAGCCTCTCTGTTACTGAGAAGTGAAACATGGTTTGGAGCTTCCTGCCAGCACAGGTTTRCACTAAACAAAACTGCTACAGAAACCCCATCACCTTCCAGAGCTCAATACTTCAATTGTATTTAGCTGACACTGGCTAAGGAGTTAAAAATTTAAGCACAAGCAAGAGAAAAGAAGCAAGACTAGAGTAAATACRAACTGATTACTTTTTGCCATAGATGACTCAGTACAATAAGCACTCAAGATGAGTGCATCAGAGAAACATCAGGGGAAAAGTCAGAAAAAATCCCTCCCTTCACCTAGTTAGGAACATCTGTACTYAAAAACCAAGGGATTAGGAAAAGATCAGGGAAGAAGCTGTCTAGAAGTTACAGGGCCAAAATGATTCTCTGCATCTTCTGACATTTTGCAAATGTTTTATAAAAATATTGCATAAGTGACTTTAMACTTGGCACTGAAACTAACCACATAGTGGGAAGGATATTTTACAATACAAAAAAAAACCCCACAATATGAAATTTACTACACTTATGTCCTCTGATACATTTTTCGTGTGACCCAACTGCAACACAGGAAGGTTATAAAATGACCAGGTTACCTTTATTGATGGCTTCTGGTCAGAAAAGTTATAAGAAAAGGGAAGAACACCTTAAGTCCTATTGTTCAGGGAAATATCAGAAAAGTAATATGCAATTTGCATAATGCATTTTCCCCTTTCTGTATTCACTTCTTACTTCTGCATTGCTTCCTAGAATCTTGTAGCTACTTTCTTTATGAAAAAAGAATGTACTTAACATCCTTGTATTTCTCATATGTTGTCAGTCACATGAGCAAAGTAACATGAGAGACCAGTAGACAGTGATGTGCTCATAAGCACTGAGMCATGATCTGATCCAAGAAGGAATGCTCTAGAAAAAACCCTACACAAATATTCTGTTCTGCTAAACATAACAAGGCTATATGATGAAAACATTCTAAAATTAGACTTGAAATTAATTTATATAGTATTTGGTTTATTATAATTTGATTATACAGCTTCAGGTATTGCTAGTTTATACTTTTAAAATGTCTTTCAACCACATTTTCAATAATGGTTTATCTTGTGCAATGTGTGCTGGTAAAATAAGGCAATACCAGTAACACCTTTTACGGGAAGCAGAAAGTAGGTTAAAGAAGAAACATGCACTAGGCAGAACTGGCCCACATCTGAATGATGCAGGAAAACAGATCTCACAGGAAGTAAGGTAAACCTTAGTGTGATATCTCACGTGTTTAAATACATTCTGCTGCCTACACATATTCATCTCTCATTGCGGGATAAGAGTTTGTACTTCTTCTGATGATACCTAAAACCCAGAAATATAGGGGGRAAAAAATGGAATGAGGTGCAGAACCTGCTCAAAGGAGCTTAGGCAAAGACCACTGCCCTGTGAGATTCAGCAGATCTCCATGGGTAGATCATTGCCAATTCATAAGATATCAGCTTTACAGTTGCTGGTCATTTTTTCCATAAATTGATTTCCAGTTAAAAGCACCACTTATTCCTGTCATGACAACAACCATTGTTTTTTGTCCTAAATAACTCAGGATATTTTGCATTCATACACAGCAACTATGACCTTTCTCRGCTTTTGTTAGGAGCTCTTTATTCAGTATCCCAGCAAGAAGACGTGTGACTCTGCTTCTAGTAACCTCAGTCCATTTTAACTCATCTTATTAGAAAGATGAGTAYAGATATGAGATTCTACTTACTTCTAGGTTTAGAAACTATGTGCTATCTAGAAACTGACAGTAACATTTCAACTTAAACATATCAAGACATCTCAGCTACAACAGATGAGCAGTGTTGAGTATAGAGCAAAGGTTTAGAGATAACAGTGTTTCCACATAATACACAGATATCCCTGAAACAACAAGCTCAGGACAGTATCAGAATAGTTATCACGGCAAATCAGAACAGAAAGGAAGTAGCAAAAGATAAATTTGAGTCTGACTTCAGAAAAAAACACAATTCTACATCCAGACTAAAAGTAAATTGAAGAACTTGCTCATCACTTCTTACTAAATTCTTCTAATTCTAAACTAACTTCTGAAGAAACTTTGAGTATTCAACAGAAGTTGGCAATTTGTTTGCAACAGAAACCACCACAGTAATAATCCCACAATGATCATAATTCAAAGAACAGCCCCTGGAATGGCTAACAATGCTCAAAAATCAACTCCCTGCTCTATGAAATCCCATCACAGAGTAACAAGAAACTGCCTCACTTTACTGGACTATGCCTTCATATGAACAGCTGACTTGAGCTTCAGTGCACTGAGCCACATTTCAGCAGAAAAGCCCAAGCAATGCCTGCAGCAGTGGCTCACACACATCACTGCMCAGCAGCTCCCTGGATGGCTCCCCTCCCTGGCAGCCAGGCACAGAGCACTTGTGCTGAAGATTGCACCCCATTGCTTCTGCACATAGCCAGCCTCCACCAGTGGGCTTTTACACTACAGGCTTTCCCTTCCATGGTTTCATTAAAGAATATGGCTGAAGTTACCAAAAATTAAGGTTTCTCCCATGGGAGTTTGTCCCTTTACCCACCACTCTTCACTCCCTGTAAAGCAGTTCCACCTCTAGCAGTTTTTCTAACAGCCTATTTCAGAAGGCCAATACCCCTCCTATTTACTAMCTGTTCAGGTACAACAGAAGCCTGTTTTACCAGTTTACATGTAGTGAGGACACATTTTTAAGRCCAGTAAGAAGCAGCAACCTAAACAGTATTACAAACATAAACAGATCAACAGGATTTTATAGGAAACCCCTAGTATTCCTAACATAAGTGCAAGCACACAAACACATTCATAGGTATTTTGCAACTCTGTACAGTAACCATGACAGGAAAAGAAAATCTCACTTCTGTAACAACTGGTGCTCCACCCTCTTGCCACAAATTTCCTAGTAACAAAGCTGCTTCTGCACAAGTAACACACAACACTGAATATGCAGCTAGCTGAAGGTCAGACATTTCCTAACATAAGAAAGAGAYTGCTTTATCCTAAAGCATTCAGTCAACTCTACCATTTCACTGTAGTTCTTTCTAAAAAAGATTAGATTCTAAATATCAAGGTCCACAGAACAAAACACCAAAAGCCTAAAAGCTACTGGCTAAGATCAGCCCACACAGCTTCCAAKGTCCCATGGGAAGAAATGTGGAGAAGCTGACATGTATCTTGAAGGAGTTGAAACACATCTCCCACCTTGAAACCCCCAGAGCTATAGCCACTGCTGGGAAAGAAGGTGCATGAGAACCAATTTACTGATTGTTATAAATTAAACATTCAATCAGCAACTGCTGGTCAGCACCAGTCATTAGGGGACATGTTCAATTATTCGACAGAACTACAGTCAGAGGCCTCTTACAGTAAGGTCATACCCCCCAAAATAGGCCCTTAAAAAGTAACAAGTAAGCATTTCACGAACTGTGAAAGCCACAACAAAAGGGAAAATATTATAAACATGACACCTAGAAAACCAGTAACAAGAGTATCAGTATCTAGCAACATCTACCCAGGGTTAAAAAAGGGAAAAGGGCAATGACAGAGCAATGCMCTCCCCTCTCTCTGTGGCTGGTCTCTATTCTCACAAGCTCACTGATGCACCATTTTCAGAGACGATCAATTTTACTGCTAAAACAATGGCAATATTSAGATAAAAACCTTAAGCCAGGTATTTTTTCTAAGTCTCTCATTTCAAGTTGCACAAGGAAAATTCAYAGGAAAGTTGTGCTGAATCATTTTTATTTCACTACCAAGGGGCAGATAAAAAAACTGAACACAGAAGACTGGATTACAGAAATGTCCCATTAAAATGTCCCATTGAAAAGATGATCTGACAACACAACCTGATGTCTATTGCTGGTCTCCTCTCCTAAACCTGAACATCTTGGCTTTTCAGTTTCCAGATACMTGATTTTGTTTTTCMAATATTTTCTTTGCCTTAAAAAAAATAAAACCAGAGACAGTTTGCCACTTACTGAGTTTTTCTGTATATCTTGCTCAACCTTAGAAGAAAACACCGAGAGATCACCATTGAGTATAACCTCAGCCAAGGAGTTCACCAAGGGAGCATAATGTATAATCAGAAAAACCTATTAAAAGAAGAGCAGAAARAAATATTAGACATATTTACAGAATACAGTTTCACAACTTCCCTTGCTCAACATACTTTTCACCTTGCTGCTATCTTTAGTTTATATACAACTGGTAACACTGATAGCTCATTAAATCTACTTTAAAACACAGAAGACACAGGTATCTGATCCTTGTCTACCTTTGAGGCTATCTAGTTTTAATAATTCTTCATATTCTTTCCTCCTGTGTAAATTTTCTCTCCTCAACACCTTTGAAAGCAAAGTTGTGTGATGTTCTAGCAAGGAACTAATGAAACCATTCCAGAAATGTGGGTTGGGTTTTTTTYTTTTTTTTYCACGAACAACAAACTGATTATGGTGCACAGCATCCCCAGATCTTCCTGTGTGCTAGCCACTGGCCAGACTCCAGAAAGTTCTGTGCAGTGCACACAATCACTGTGCAGTGATTCATGAGTAAAGGCCACACAATAGGCTGAGCTGGATCAGAAGCAGYTTTTCTGGCTCTCAAACTGCAGCAAATCAATGTCAGCTAGCCAGTGGCTACAGAACACAGGAGTAAGGACCATACTGCCTGGAGCATTGAAGCATTTGACCACAAGTGCTTTGTGGTCAGAGTTCTCTGTTCACACTAATGACTCTATTTCAAGCCAAGACTTACAAGTGGGCCAGCAAACAATTGGCTCCTGCACAGAACCAGCTCAGGTCCAGCTGCAATAGCCTTCTGTCAGCTTATATCCATTCTCTTCAAAGGAATATCAAGGCTGGATCCCTTATCAGTGGTTCTACTTACAAAATTCCCAAATAGTATCTAAGTCATGAAATCTAATCATTGTTTTTACAGTATTTAGCTAAATGTTCTCCACAGGTTGTCTGATTAAAGTCAGAACCAGACCTTCAAAAGTGATTATTAGCATGCAGTAGTCATCTATCTAAAACTTTTCAAAAGTACTTTGAACAACCTCCAAATCACTCAAGCTTCTGCCAATTCAGCAAGTGTTGCTTGACTGCCCGCAGGCCTGTTTTGGTACAAGTACAGCATATGTTCTCTGTGAACAGTGGGTGAGAAGCCCCAGCAGTGCATTTTCAGGTGCTAGCACAGTCTCTCTAGCACTTGTCTCTAATATAAGAGCAGTGCCTAGAGCGTATGCCTGGTGTCAGTAACAGAAACAGGCAGCAAGGTTTGGCAGATCCCACCMCACCACAGAGACTCCAGGTTAAGGGAGGTGGAAAAAAAGTGTTTCTGCCAGTTATAAATACAGCATGATTTTCTATATCACATCCCATTCTGATACACAAAATTTGTTCTCAGTTCTTTATGACTAGTTCCATGTTCTTTATTAAAGAGAATGAAGAACATAGATACAAATCTTGAAGTGATACCTCGCTGACACTTCCACTGAAAACAAAGATGTTAAAAGAGGTCAACTTATGCAACTGTAAGATGCAGATCCCTTTGGTTACAAGAAGTTGCTGCTCTCACAGTTTTTTCTGTGGTAAATAACCCTCATATCACCACAATTTTTAAAATTTAAATTATGAAGCAGTAAATTATATTTTCCTAGGAAAAAACCCAAACCCATACTTCCAGCAAAAAGATGAAATTATGGGCCAGTACATAATAAAATAACTATTGAAAAATTCTAAGTTCAAAGAAAAAGAAGTATAAATTCTATGAAAACAAGTCAAAACTATTTTCAGATAACAATTTAAGAAAACCAGTCTCATAGCAATGCTGTGAAGACTACAGAGAGAACAGATGAATCTTCCCTACTATAYAAAAACTCTATTGCAAAACTCTTAATTTGAAAAGAAGTTCCAGAAAGAAAAGGAGGTGGGACTGGTAAGAATCAGAAATAACAAGTACTTAATTATAGATTTAAGCTATGGGCTTACAGSTGTAAGCTCTGAAATTCAAATTGTGAGAAGATTTTGGTAGTGGTGGTTTTGGGGGTTTGGGTTTTCAAAGAGGAAAATTCAAATCTGAAATTTTCCATAGCTTAGGCAGATTCAAAATGCAATATTACACTGAGCTAAATTTTATCTGCCATTGTACCAAGTTCTGTCCCAGCATGCTACATGGCTATTACACATCATATGTCAGGTGGTGTACAGTTTATGATCATGGAATGCTCTCAAGCTTACCCTGTGCATTGGGATCCTTAAAAGAATGATATTAACTCAAATAAGAAGCCATTTCTTCTGCCAGTAAAAAGACAGTATGTTTTACTTCCTTTTGTATGGAAACTGAAAGGTTAAAAATTTCTTTTGCCAAATTTTCTTTTATGGCTTTGCCRAAATGATAAAAATACAGTAAATTTTAAACCAGAACAGTACTGCAAAATTTGTTCTGMAACAGGACAAATACTTAAAATACTTACTTGAGAAAGAAGATAGAGGGAAACCTGGAGACTTATTTTTGGACGTTCTCCACCCTAYAGAAAACATTATGAAAAATGCTTATTWATTTATATAAAGTATTTACATSGTTAATGTTTTATYTAAAACAAAACTTGTGTTGTTYCACATTCTGCTACAAAAYATTCAGAAAGRATCATGTTCTTTAACATTCATTGCTTGCAAACTATTGGAAATGGAGACTCTGAATAAGCATATCTCTTACTCTTCCTTGTTTTAACGAATTGCTATTAATTTGTCTTTCACAGTCACTTAAGTAACTTGAATAGGTGAGCATCTCAGAAGTACACTGGTTTTCACTATGCTATTTCTTCCAAAAATTCTTCTCAGTTAACRTTCATTAAAGACTGCTCTCAAAATTAGCTATTCAGATAACATGAAATACTACCCACAACAGACAAGTGAATGCAGGAACATGTACAGATTTTAAAAAATAGTTTCTATTTCACCAAAAAACAGTTTACCCACTAAATTTAATGGCTATGCTTTAAAAATAAATTCAGCTATACCACATTAAAACACACAGTTTCTCTACAAATAGAAGAAATAAGTATCAAACCTGAAAATTTGTATTGTCTACCTAGATGGACTTTTACGTCACGGCAAATTTGCACTGTATTATAACCTGCTTTTGCCAGAAGACAAGTAACTTTATCAGAAAAGGAAATCACACATCTCCCAGAGYAGCAGAAATTTAAACCATGTTCCAAATTTGTAGTTATTCTTGTCCCCACTACTGTCAGCTTTTAACCACTATGTCACCCAAAACAGTAGTTCTCTGGTGAACATAGTTTAATCTGCTGTGCTTTTAAATTCAGTCTCAGGGCATTTCCTCTACAGCCACTTATTAAAGCTGTTTCATGTAAACCATACATAGATATCAAGAGTATCATACACCTACTACACAAATCACTTTGCACACTGAAAGCAAGTAGCACYTCTGAAATTTAACTGTTTGCAGGTRTTAGCTTACCTTGTCTTGATTTACCAATGAATACACGTAGAGGGGAAGAAAGAGCCTATTAAGTAGGTGGTCTGTCAGCACATCATTTAAAAATTCACAATTAATGATAAGGATATCATTAAGGTAATGCAAATGATCAAGATGTTCTGCTACCAAGTCACTYAGCTTGCCCCTATTTCTGTGCCTGAAAGAGAGCAGAAAAAAAAATTGTAAAAGTCTTAAAAACTTAGGGGAAAATGTAATGTGCATCCCTGCCAAAGATCACCTGGCTCAGGCAGACTGCCTAAAGATGTTTCAGTTGCATTTCCAACTAATGCAACTGGCAAACACTATTCAGGCCTATACGTGCTTTAGGATGCACAGATCAGTTTAACCCCCAAGATTTCAGAAGAAATGTTTTTACAAAACTTRGCTTTCCATTGCCAGACTCCTCAGAAGCCAACCACCAAAATGAGAAGACTTTTTTCCAAAAATAAAGGAGAATTCTCTGTTGTATTTAACATGTCCCTCTTCACTTTAGGAAAGCATGAAACATGCCCACTCTAAGGTGGGAGTGGCAAGACAAACCAAGAATAACCCAAATCAACAAAATATTTCTGTAGTTSATAGTGGAATATTACACAGCCATGTCAGGTCTGACAGTTCATATATTAAAGTTCATCTTTCTTGCTTAAATTCATCCCCTAGAATCTTTTCAGAAAGCTCTTCTAATGAGATGACCCATAGGAAAAGAATGCTAAAAAAGACAAAGTTTAGAAGATTGAGAAGCAAAATAACTTTTGTGTCTTCCAGACACTTGCTTTTTTTAGCAGGATGAAATAAAGATGAGGAAAAAGTTTGTGGCAAACACTAATTTACTTGTATGCACACCAGCAGAGATTAGGCACATAGCGTTGYTATCTTAAAAGAATCACTAAAAAACTTTAAAGAATGGGAAGTCTGAACTGTCTACAAGGGAACATGCTAAGAAACTAACTTAACTGGACTACTACAGACAAAATAAGGACAGTATTGACATCGGGGGAAAGCAATTCCATTCAATAGCCAGCATTTGCAAAAGCTTACTCTTCATCAGTCTGCACACAGTTATCCAGTTCTATCACATGGCTGCCAATAAACCAGACGAGGTTGGAGAAATAAGGAACTGCGGTTTTATCTCGAATGTAATGCAGCATAGGTTGGTTGTCCACTGAAGAAAAATCATTAAAAACAAAAATCAGTTGCCAGTATTTTTTACTGCTTTTTAAGAAACACAACAAAATAYYTTCTGAATTTGATTACATGCTAGCTTTCCACATGAGTATACACCTGACACAATCTTAGGCGTGAAATGGAAATCTATAAAAACATCATGTCACATCAGTTCTTAGCTGGCTTGAATGAGCCTAATGTTGATATATTTATATGTCTGAAAATAAACAAATCTAGTGGAATTCAGAAAGGTTCTTTTAGCACATTATTTATCAAAAAGAAGAGAAAAAAGCGCAAGAATAAAGCAGTAATGCTGAGAGTCAAGCTAGTTAGACTTACATGACACTGCATTAAGGAACACAGGAATCATCAGTGAAGGAAGGGCAAAAGAAACAGACAACAGTTAACAGGATTAGGAACTGGGATAGTGACATCCTCTACAAGGGTTTAAAAAGCTAAAGCACAAAGCACCTAAACTAAAAGATACAGGGTAGGTGTTAGAGCAGAATATATGCAAACAGGTACTCAGAAAACTATCAAACCTGWACATCTGAGCTGTGCCTTTTCATCTGTAACCTTTGTTATCACTACAACATCCAATGAAAATTCTAGACAAGTACATTTTTTTCATAAAATACATAGTTACATAAATATACCACAAATAGGATATGAAGCCTCTAATTTGTTGTTTTTTGTAAGCTCATATTTGCATTTACAGTTCCTTGAATTAGAAAGCAAGTACCAAATGCCCATTTCTCAGAACACAGAAACAGTGCTGCAGCCAACACTGTAAACAACCTATTTGCTATGCAGGCTATCCAGTCACTTGCAAAGCAAACTGTTCATTGTTTTAAAAAAGACCTTAACCTCTTCTATGAAGACTATCAATGTCTATGAAGACCTCTTAATTGACAGAAAGTTGTGTAAATTCAACATGTAATTTAAAATGAATTAAAGAACAAGAAGCCCTGCAGGAACATRTTGCATAATACATATGACCTTATAGCATGCTGATTTCAGAGGTAGAAGTTCAGAATAAACAACRTTTTCTACAGACAATACTGTGACATTTCCAGTTCATTAAAAAATGTTATATACCCCAAGAAAAATTTAAGGGGAAGTGACGTCGGGTTTACAGTAGACATTCCCAAAGTAGCACTAATTTCAAAGTACAACCAGGTTGCTGAGGTCTCTACTGAGTTTTGAGGACCTTAAACAATACAGATGCCTCACTTTCTCTGGAAAACCTGAGAAAGCTTTACTACTTTCACAGGGAAGTTYTGCATTTTTCCCTTTGATCCTTTTGTAATGCCCAACACAGGAATTTGCAACTGCAGCCTCCTGGCCTTCACTGCATAYTTCTGGGAATGGTCCAGCTCTGCCTGAGACTGAAGTGACTGCAGCGCCCAAGAGTTCTACAGACACACTTTAATACACTTCCATCTAAAAGGGAGTGATGTTGGTTACTGCTTCATACACTAGAAAGCTCAATTTAATCAGTAAAAAATAATTCATATTTAAAAAAACACTTTGGCTTTGGGTTTTTTTGTTTATTTACTTTTTAAAATACAGTCACATTCTGACCTCTGTTGCATGGGAAGCTAAAGTTCCTTGTGTATGCTTGACACTTTCGTGTTTTTTTCCTCAAACCAGTTTCCTCAGTGAAAAAAAATACTATTTACAAGCACCTACTGCAGGTTTGGGATAGTGGCTACAAAAGTCAAAATGTGTATCTGAAACTTGCCAACATGCTAAGCTTTTCAATCTCATAAAACAGACTGAAAACCCTTACATGTAAATAACTGAAAATTAAACTACAATGAAACAAAATTTACACACATGCCTTTTTTAATAAATAAAAAGCATACCTTTGTAGACATTTAAAGTTATAGTCCTAACAGCAATCCTGACCATGCTTTCGGGATGGTTAAAAAATTTAATAGCTTCAGTGTACAAAGCAAAGTCGTTAGTGTGCTGTAACAAGAGGAAAGAAAATATTTATTCATTAAACATATACTGACTATCAGTTGGGATTCTACATGAATTATGTTTTCTGTGTATTAATATGGTATTTTTACGTTCTACTTAAATAACCAAAATGATTTTACAACACAAGTCGCATTTGTAGCTCTGTATTAAAAGAGAGTGCTTTAAACAACAGAGCTTCCCAGGGTAACTGTGCACATACTCAGTGCTTTCATGCCCTCTTCTGGCAGAAAGTGGAGCACAGCAAGGAAAAAACCCATTTCAACCTTGCCCTTTGACTCAGCTTTCTGGACTTCGACTAAACCTCTCAGAACCAAGTGATGCAACAGAAAAGATCCTGTTTACGAAAGCATGAGAAAACAGAGCATAAACAAGTTGAATTCTCAAGGAAGTAGACTTAAGTACTACTGAAATGATCTAATATAACACCAATTTACAGATTTTTAGTTTATTATAGTTGAAAGAGGACTGCAAAAAAAAGCCATGCTTGTGCAGAGATCCTTACAAACAAATTCACAAACACAGGTATTGCCATTATCAAAATAAAAGCAAGACATTAAGAGACGAGACTAAACATATGCTACACTGCTATCAATTTAAAATTAAAGTTCTTTTATCATTATACTGYAACTTTCTTCACTTACCTCATTGTAAAAGAAATGTACRGTATGGTTATTGAGTTTCAGGGAAAGGGTTTTCAAAAATGATATGTAATATGCCATGATCTCCTCATCAGAAAAGTCAAATTTGTGGACAATAATAGAATTCACGTAGTTATTAGAGAGCAGGTAGTCTGAAAAATAAGAAGCATTAACCCAGGTAAATACAAAAAAAATCATCATGGTAACAAGCTGTATTTAAAGTACTAGCTAGCAAGCAATGACCTGATGTTTGATAATCACAACTTTTACCCAAACAACTCAAGTGATGCCTTTGAGCACTGATATAAAGGACTGCTCCCTACAAAGGTCTTTCTCCCAAGAACAASACAACTGAGAATACACTTCATCTTCTCGATTTAGGTAGTCTCTGCAGCTAATAATGCTTAACTCTTTTCCTCCCAAAGGCCCAACTCTCCAAGGTTTGAAAATGACTCTCTCTTCATGATAGCTGTGTAATAYTTCAAACTGTTAATTCTCCATCCTCTTTATATTTTGACAAAAAGCTTGAGGAAACAGCCATGGCTGAATGTCAGCACTAATGATATCAGAACAGTTACAGCACAAATTACACAGCAGAGCTCCACCATAGGATCTGTGGCAGCAAGTGAACCTTYCAGATCACAACTAATTTGTTGACTTTAATAACCCCTTGAAATATGCTAAATGCTTGTATCTAAATGCAGTTGTACCTAACAACTACTTTTGCACCACTGAAAATTTACATTAAAAGGCATTTTGGAGCCAGTTTACACTGAATTTTTGGTAGTGTTCAGTTTAAAAGATTGTTAGTAATTCTAGGACTAAATTTCATTGAATGAAAGGGAATCTTTCAATTCAATCAAATCTCAATCACTTCATCCTAAGCAGTTTGGAAGTGTGCCCTTACACAGGGATGTTTCATGACTGATGTTCTCAAAGAGGATGTTCAGAGTCTGCAGCAGCTGCACACACACATAACGTCCAGACTTCTGACGCAGGATGTTCAGGAAGAAAACAAACATATTCTTCTCCAAGAAAAAGCTGGAATAAAATAAAGATGTCATTAGGTCACATGCTGTAAATAACAGGAACATCATTTGGCAAGGATTAGGGATGATTCAAGGCAACTTTGACAAACAGCATTCTTTTACGAAGAATTATTTTGCAAAGTTGTATCTGTATAATAAAATAACATCTTTCAAAAACCTTAAATACTAAACAATGGGGCTTAAAAATTCAAATYATGCAAAAAAGGACATAAAGAAATCAGAGCCTTTCCTACTGTATTTTTAGCATATTCAATTTATCAGGCAGTTCTAAATACAACCATGAGAATAAGATATTTATTTGTGGTACCTTAGGTAAATTGCAGGGAACAAACTGATATGATATTAATGCAATATGATATTAATACATGTATTGAGTAATACTGTGCCCTAAAATAAGTTAGAGTTCRTATTTACATCAAAAGAATGGAGAGTCAAACAAAAGCAGTACCCAAAAGGGGCTCTGGACTTCAAACACTTTTTAGAAGCAGCAACTTCTTGTATGATGTGAATATGAACCTGCTCACCTATCTACTACCATAGATATATGAAAATATATGTAGAAAGCCATAACTTTCTACATATATTAATGAAATACAGTCTTGGAAGAGTTAACTTTTTCAATGAGAACTCTGTACAACTCCAAGCATTCTTCAAACACAAAAGCAGAGCCCAACTTGCTCACAAGTACTCACTCAAACACTGAGCTGTCATTCTGATCGCCCCAGATAAGAATCTCCGTTATGGATCGAATGGTCTCCACCAGCAGGTTTCGGTTGTGATCTGTTACTGTTGTATTTTTAGTCAAAATATGATACATGTACCTAAAAGAAAAAATAAGTACAAGTAACATGCTATGCTGCCACCCTCACATCTTGTTTGTCTTTCATCACTGTACCAATGTAGACACATATATAYGCACAAAGTCTAATCACTRTAGCCTTTAAAAACCCTAAAATCTCTTTTAATGTTGCTGCAGACAGAAAACTAATTGTTACACAGAGTGACAAAAGAAACAAATCCTCCCCAGCCAGGTGAGTTATGAGGGCTTATGCATGTTAACATAGAACTAGAAACTGTAACTGCCCCAAGATGCTTCTCATATCAATTTCTTCAGAATATGTTSAAGTCAAGGGAATGATGAGCAAGAAAAATAGAAGAAGCAGGTAAGCATGCAGTAGTTGATATGAGAAAGTGGCACATAAGGTCTAATCAGAGAAATTAGATCCCTTTTCTTGCCTGCAAAGACCCCTTACAGACTCACATCAATTCGAACCTTAATATCTGGACTCTCAAAGACTATTCATGCACCTTGGCAAAGCGTCATTATCAGGTCTCTGTTCCCTTAAGCACAAATATTCATTGGAAAGGGGGCAAAGTCCAGCTTTATCATCTCAAAGGGCAAGTTTAAGATGGTCTAGTGAAGCTTAAAAAACGGGATGTTTATATCACACAGGTGACAGGAAGCTAAATAGAATAAGTCTTTCAGATTGTCTCAAAATTTTACTCTTCAAGGAAGAGTAAAACTTTTTTCCCAAAAAGTTACATCAAAGMACCAATTTACTTCAGTCTTGTTAATTTACTTCTGTCTTGTTACTTTCTTACATCCCACAAAAAAAAAAAAAAAAAGTGGGGTGTAGGCAATTCTAATAAAAGCACAAAAATCACCACTGCTTTTTTCCCTCTGTTTAATTTTATTGAGTAATAAAAGATAAATATCAGAAATGTGCACAATTTTGAAAATAAATAGAATACGTGAGGGAAATTTCATATAATTTTAGAACTGCACAGGTTTAGATTCTTAAACACATCTACTCATATTGTTATACTGTGACTGTACTGAAAACCCAAAGTAACACCTTTGCGTCCAGGATTTCTGTGCAATATGCTCACAACTGTTTGGGAAGGAAGACAGATTTTCCATATTACAAATGTTGCCATGAATAGTGGAGTTAATCAAAACTCCCAAGACCTAACTATGTGAAAATAGCCTGTGTGTACCGACCCTGGGACAGCCTTTCATTATTGTTTTGGATTCCATGAAAGTTTGTTCAGTGATTCAGACTGAAATTTTAGGAATCTCATTAGTAGAATTTTGCCAAGCTTCTGTAAGGTTCCAGAAAATGCAGCACATTTCTAAAACAAAATTTTGGAGTGTCTGGTTTATGGCATAAATTAAGATGCTTAGGTCAAAAAACACAATTGAAATCACATTTCAAAAAACAATATTCCCATCAATTTTATCAACACTAAAAACCTGAATCACTGCACTGGGCAAACATGAAGCCAGAAACTAAAATGTCATTTAACGGAACACACATGTGAGGCTGTTCCAGCTATTTACAAAGGCTGTTCCAGTCTTTACAAAGACATTACCTAGATTCAGAACCTTTGCTTGAATTCAAAAGGCCCCACCAAAATCAGCAAGAACTTTGATCATATTTACAGTTAACTTAAAATCTGGAAAATTTGGTTTGAAGGATTGTCTTCAGCTGCTGAGCTGCTGAGTTGGGCAGAGTTTCACAGGACTTGTTGCAAGACACAGTCTGTCCTCACAAACTATGCATGGAACAGGTGGTATTTCGGAGAAGCTGACAAAATGCACTGTGCTGTGATGGTAAAACACTATGTGCTTGCTGGTCTGAATATTACTTAATCATCAAACAACAGTTCTTTGCTGTGTTGAGTACTGCACAAGGACACCAAGAGGTAAACAGCTCCCAGAAGTTCACAGCTTTAACCACATGCTCCCTTCCCTCACACCCAAATCAGCAATGTGACAAAGCCTACACCATATTACCAAAGATTGTTATATTACATATATTAACAGACAGAAAAGAGAAGGAAAAATGAAATAGGTGGCAGGGGGGAAAGGAGGAGGGGAATTGGCTTTTCATAATCTTTCTCTTCAGTAAGAAACTTCATGGTGATGTTTCCCCTCAGAAATCAATACTCATTTTCAAATCCAGAACAGAAACTGCTCAGACTGAAATCACTCTAGGAAAAGCTGATTCTCAGCTATGTCCTACAGTCATAACTGCCTGGTCACGTGCTGTACCATAAAAGCCATTAATAACAAGTCAAAGAGCACCTGCAAATCCTCTTCCACTAATCTCAGGATCACGGTTCAAGATTCCTTCTGTGGAGACTGACAGCATGATGGCTCACAGRGAAGATGTGAGAGCTTAAGTCTGACCACCTGTGAGAATTCCCAGGGTTTCTACATGAGCACACAAGCCCTGGAGAAACTTCCCATGAGGGCACCATGTGTATTATCAGAACAATGAATCAAAAGACAGAGCACAAACTCGGTCCCTGCTCCGAGGATGAAGCAGTTAATGGAGYAGAGAACAGCTGAAGAGATGGCAATTAGACCAGTTCATTCCACAATAATCTGAACAACTTCCTTAGAGATTTAGAGAGTAATTAATACTATATTATTTCACATAGTTTAGCCTATTTATTCTAACTCACATGGAAGTTTATTGCATCTGCAGACATTTATTTCTCATTAATAAGTTGCATTATACAAATCTGGGATTAAAGTTTACTCCAACAGTAGAATTTTGGGAATGTGATGCGATGGGAAGAATAACATGCTATTGCCTTATTTTGGGAGCCTATGGAATATAGAGCATTACAAACACAAAAAGAAAGAAATGTTTAATAGTCAGAAACACATTATCTCCAAATTTATAGGTAGCAGCATAATTGCAGAGTTCTTTTAATTTGCCAAGGCATTGATTCACATAGAGGAAACCTGGCCTTCACCATCAAACTATTCCTTTTTTTTTTTTTTTTTAATTTATCCCATTTGCTTGAAATTGAACAAGAAAGAATACTTGTTTCTCTTTTTCTCTTTACAGACATGTGAAATACCATATAATGAGAGCATAAAGTACCACACAAACACAGTATTTTTGTATTTATATAAATCCTTAAAGCCTGTCTCTAAATGCTGGTTACAGAGGGGTCAGATTGGTGCTTCAAAATGCAAAACTACCAAAGAGAAGGTTTTTGTCATCTCTACATCTGAAGAGTGGGTTCAAACAAAAACCCATCAAGCAGGAAATGTCAAAGCACCCAATACCATCAAAATTAGTGGGAAATGTTGCCAGCAACCTAATAAACCAAACAAAATTCTGAACATTTTTCTGGTTAGGAACCATGCTCAAAGGGGTAACACAGTAACTCATGAATATTGTAGGTGTGTTTTAACAACATTCCTACCTATTATTTACAAAAACGTACTAAAATAGGCAAGAGTTCAGGAAGTCAAGCACGCAAATTTTAAAACCCCATAACATGCTGTCTTCTTCATTGTGCCTGTAAACAGGTAACAACATATTGTTCTTACAGAGGAAACCTGATGCATAGCACGGACAGTACTTCAGGAAATGAATCACCCATGAAAAAAAGACTTCAAGCATACGTTTACAGACACTGCAKCTGACCAAGGCATGGAAAATGTTCAGCACCCAACTTTAATGGCATGGAACCTTTTGTGCAATCACAATGCGATTAAAATACCAAGTGCAGAAGACACAATGGGAAATGCACTTGACATTAACAATATAGAAAAGTAGAGGGGAAAATCTGACTTAGAAACAAAGGTGCACAAAAACACCAAGTTCTCTGAGAAGCAYYCAGGTAGCGAGTAGCAYTATTTCATCCTTCCCTAGATCACAWTTCAGAAGCTGGATTAAATTTTAACTGTTTTCACTAGATCAAGAGATTGCATAAAAACACTTAACACAAATGGCCTCACAATTTGCCTTTAGCCATTCCATTCTATGACATGCTTGTGGGAAGACTGAATAGTAAAAATTGAAAAGCAAGCCTCAAACAAACTGCATTAAAGCTGATGGGAAAGATCCAGCATTTACGGACAAAAAGCAGTAACTCTGACGGTATCACTAAGCAGGTGTTTCGTTTACAATTCAGACTCAACTCTACACTATGCAAGTTTAAAACTAAAAATGTTCCCTCAAAGCTAGCCCAGACTCATTTCATCCCTGTAACATAGCATAATACACCTTTTACATGTTGAGCTAACCTGTAATAGAAAGACAGGTGTGTTCTACTCAGCTCCTTCATATGGAACACAAAATGTGGCTTTGATGAGTTGAAAAGAGGAGAAGGTAAACAGCTTATCAARTAAGCTYATTAAGACTGACTTTCTTTCATGACCCCAAAATGAAGGTYCTCTGCCCTTTTTCCTTCTGTTATTTTACCTACTTCAACACTTGGWAAAGACCTAAATTTCCCCTCCTATTGACAGCTAGCTAGAAGCTGAACTTCCTGCAGCCTGGATAAACAAACCCGTAAAATATACATAGTCCAAACAGATCAAAGGTCCCATCCGTCCTTTACATATTACCATTTCAGATTCACAATTAAGGAATCACATGCAAAAAAGCAGACCAAAGCTTGTACTCTAGTAGATAACTATTTACTTCAGCTCTCAGATAACAAGTCAAGCAAAAGTTGCAACACTTAAAGCCCAATTCCCTTTTGCTACAAATCAGRCAGGGTGTAATTTTTCTATTCTCTGGGGCCCCAACAGAACATATGGACATATTTTTCTTGCCTGAAAGTAAGTCTCAAGTCTCCCTCTCATCAGCCTATTTTTTGCTAAACTTAAATACAGTTTCTTCAAATTTCATCATGCATCAGCGTGCTTACTCTATCTTCAAATGAAATATCAAAGCCAGATAGATCTAWAGCTCCACTAATGCTGCATAGTACACAATAATTACTCCTTGGATGTTACATAAAACATTCCTGTTTACATCTGACCATGACTTTTCCCTTTTTATTGCTGTAAAAACAGATCCCAGTGACTTACTAGTGTAATCTACTATGCTTCCAAAATTACTCCTGCAAAGCTGTGGCCTCGTCAGTTCTGTATTCCTGGACTTGATTTCTTTGTCTTTAGTAAAAAGTGCTGCATTTCAGTTGGTCTTGCTCATTTTGAACGTTTTTGCAGGTTAGACACAAAGCCCAGAATCTATAAATGATCTTGATAACACAATTGCAAGATCCAAATCTTGTACAGGGCATCCTGCTCATTRCTGTCAGACCCCATTCGTGTCCTCCTTGTAAGGTGACTGAAAMCTACCAGGCACTTTTTCTCAATGAGCTGCATATTCACAGTGATTTCATTTAGAAAATRCTTCGTCTCTTAATGACCTCCTTTTCTCGTTCAGTACAAAGAAAARCTATCAAAGTGGTTCTCATTTTTCTCGCAATAGCAGAACACTTAAAATGGAACGGGGAAATTAAAATTTTTATCCCTTGCCACCCTTCTAACTCTCCAGTGGCAGAGCTAGGAAAAAGCTATTCCACTTTCTGCAGCMAGCAGTAACACCCGGTTCTGGGGCTCCAGAGACACCGTGGCAGTTCTCAAGCTCAAAGCTTTCCTCCTGCAGCAGCTGCTGAGTTCTGCAGTCCAGGGCACATCCCGGCCCGAGTGCCGTGACTCACTGCTAACTATCGAAAACCCGCACACCCTCCGGAACGGGCACTGCTCACACACCRGCACCAGCCCTTCGCCTCCCCGCCTCAGCTACCAAAAGGAAACAAAGTTCTCCCTCACGAGGAATGTGGTATTTCTTGTATTGATCACTCCTCGCACGGCACTCCACTCTGTGGCATTATTAAAAACAACACAAACACGTATGGCAGCCCTGAGTGTGACATGACATCACGAACTGCGTCTGCCCTGAAGACATTGTGGGACGGAGAGGTCGATTTCCGTGAGGCAGACACCAGCCCACAGAGCCTCYTTCACCGCCGGGGACCGTTCTGGGCGCTTTCCTTTCGGGAGAGCTGCGCCTGAACGCCGCGGTGAGGGCAGCGAGCGCCTGGGGAGCGCCGCCCGCCRAGCCGCCCCCTCCTCACCCCGGCCCCGCAGTCCTGTCCGAGAGAAACCTGCCCCGAGCAGCTCCGCCGACGGACGCCGGCCGCTACGGCCCCCTCCGAGCCCCCTCACAGCCCAGCCACTCTCCGCGGCCCCGAGCCCGCGGCCGCCCCGCGCTTACTTGAGGTGGTCCAAGGAGTGGATGCTGCGGGCGGCCTTCCCGTGCCCGCCGCCCACCCAGCTGCGGGAGCGGCCGAACATGCTGGCGGCGGCAGGCTGCTCCGGCCCGCGGGCCCTACGGCCTCATAGCCCCGCGGGGCGGGCGGGKAGCGGCGCGGAGCCCCGGCGGAGCGGCACCGGCACGCACGGCGCATGCGCGGGCGGGGCACGCCGGAAAGCGCCGGCCCGACCCCGCCCCCGCCCGCCCCGCGCGCCCGCGGACTGCGAGTCCCAGGATGCACCGCGGGGGCGGGGCCGAGCCCTCACACGGGCGGGGCGGGGCCTGGGCCAGGCGCGCTCTCCGGGCGGCTCGCTTAGAAAAACATCAGAGCGTAAACGGAGCCTGAACAAAAAAAGCAGAACATTAAACGTGTGCCTGTACCTCCAAAATGGGTTGTAATTAAATAATAAATTTGGCCCCGACATTCCTTGTTCGGCTTCCATAACCCAAATGGAGCCGTTCTGTGGGGTCAGCACCTGTGCTGCAAGACGCAGCGCCAGATCTTCGGCTGCTGATACTCCCCTTGCGGAGGTTTTTCCAGTAATGAACGCACACTTACTTTTGAATCAGCTTAAAAATGAAGGAAGAATGAAGAGAATGGGACTATTGACTGTCTTGACCTCTTTTGGGATTTTTTTTCCTTTAGCCAGAGAAATAAACCATCTACGTAAAAGCTGAAGTTTGTCAACCAGTATCAAAATCGCACCGAGTTTAAATTAACACCGACGGTTGTATTTTGGTATAGGTAAAGCCTTGTTCGGCAAAGAAATACCCGCACCGCAGCCGAGAGGGGCCCGGGCCCGCAATGCCGCTCCAGGAGGACCTCGTTCACAGCAGAGGTCGGGAAACAACTCCCAGGGGCGAAGGCACAGCTCAGACCTGCCCGTCCTGCCCGGGCTGCGGGCTGCGGCACAGCTCGGGCAGGCACAGCGCGCAGGCGACTGTCGGTCTCTCAGCGCACGCCGCCTCCTGTCCCGTGCAGCCGCAGTGGGACCCGAATGCCGCTAATCGCGGCGGGGGCGCCGGCTCCCGTCACAGCCGCCCCACGGCAGCGGCAGCGCGGCGCTGGTAAACARCGGCGGCGTGCGGCGGGTCAGGCGCGGGGCGGGGAGCGAGGGGCGGGCGGGCACACGGTCCTGCCGCGCAGGCCGGCCTCGCTGGCAGGTGCTCCGTGCCGACCTCCCAACGCGCCTGCGGGCTCCTTCCGCAAAGTTTGCGTGCGGGAGGAGGAGGAGGGAGCCGCGGCGGGACTGCAGCAGCCGGGCCGGAGATGCCGCTCAGCAGCCTCCTGCCAGCGGCGGGGCTGCGGCAACGCCGCTGAACCCGCGCTGGCCGCCAGCCCKCCCGCCCGGGCGTCTCTTCCTCCGGGGACTGAAAGGACCGAGCCGGCCGCTCCGCGCCCCTGCGGCCCGGGATCCGGATCCGGCTCCTCAGAGATTCTGCCCGTTGCTGCCACCGGGGCTGCGGCGTGCAATCCTGCCCCGCTCCCGGCTCCGCCGCTGCCGCCCGCCCCCCCGCGCCGGCCGGGCGGGTCGGTGCCCGCTGCCCCCGCAGCCCCCACGGCTGCATGACCGCCGCGGTCTCGGCACGTCTGGATTCGGTGGAGTCCTGGGCCTTCCATGCGCTGCTGGTGCTGCCCTATATGTTTTACGTGGGCTTGTTTTTTGTCAACGTGCTGATCCTCTACTATGCCTTCCTGATGGAGTACATCGTCCTCAATGTGGGCATCGTCTTCCTGCCCGAGGATATGGACCAAGCTCTGGTGGATCTGGGGATGCTCTCCGACCCKGGCTCGGTGCTCTACGAGACGGACAGCGAGCTGGATGTCTTTGACGGGTACTTGGAGTGACGCCCCGGGGCGCTCCGAGGCGACAGAGCGGTGCCGCCGCCTGGCCCGGGGCAGGGGCCCGGTGTCCCGGCATGGCCGCAGCTCAGGGACCGCCGCGKCCCCGGGATGCCCTCGCTGCGTCGCGGCTCCTGCGCAACATCTTCCCTTCCAAATGACACTCGCCCCGCCGGTGCAGGGGCCAGAGGGGCAGCCGAGACCCACTGCCGCCGGGCAGGCCCGCGGAGACGCAGAGGGCTCGCAAGGGRAGTAAGTAATTTCGCAGTGTCCGGCCGGCGACAGCGCTCCCGGGGCAGCGGGCACAGCGCCGGGGACACGCTCCGCCGCAGCTCCCGGCACGGGCGAGCGCTGCGGGCAGAGGGCCGGGGCCACCCCCGGCGCTTCACTCTCCCGGCAGCGCCAGGGGGCCGGCGGGGCCCCGCTGCACAATGTCCCTCCCTCCCGGGGACTCACGTTCCGAGTCACTGCAGCTGTATTGCTGGGGCTGCCTATACAGTGGGCAGCGACTTTCTGATCTGGTTCGAAAAGCAGCCCTGCATCTAAATGAGCATTCCGGCTAATATTTATTACAATTCAGAGATCTTCCTCGAGCCAGCAATACGTTTTAATCAACTGCCCTTTAAAACCACTCTCGGATAACGACAAACTACGCAGCTCACCATTCTTCCCATTTTAATCGTAGCACGAGGGTTTGCTTGATCAATTTTTTTTTTGTACTTTTGAGTGAATCTAAAATTCTGGAAATGTAAGGATTTAGCATTTTAAAACACTGAAATGCATTTGGGAAGAAGATTACTATTTCTAGCTAGGACTTTCTGTGCCAAATGTATGTTAATGAAAACATTCACAGTTTAAATTAAAATGTGTTAGCAAATCTGCCAGTAGATTTTTTAGCAAAATATTGTCTGTAAATCTGAAATCCAGGATATCTTCTTTTTTTTTTTTTTTTGTTTGAAATGATGGAAATGGGAAATTCAGTTTTAAGGTTACAAATAAAACCTTGCTGAACACACTATACAAATACCAGTTAACATCAGGCTATTTTAAACAGTCTTCTAATTGAAAAAACACAAGCAAACCTTTCCTGTAGTTCTGTCCTTAGTATAGGATATAAAATTATGTSCTAAATATTTCTAGTCAGAGTCTATAAAAAGCAATATTAGCTGATTTTGGTCAGTAGTTCAGAAGGAAAAATTGGACACTTTTGGTGTTGGAGTAACATGGCACAAACACAGCTGAACAAGTCTTGGTCAAAAGCCTGTGGGAGCCTAAGGAGGGAGTGAACAGATTTTGTTGCTACTGAAGAAATCTCACTGCATACAGTCACTGCAAATGGAAGTGTCTATGCCAACATTTGGTGGTCTATCCTGAGCAGCTGGATTAGAATCACCTAAAATAGGTGTGGAGCAGAACAAACCTCCCTACAAAACACTGTTGACTACTTCTGTGGTTGTCTCTGCTTCTCCTTYTTCAGCTGGGCAAATGACATACATGCTCTGTATTCGAGGAAAGCAATTCCTAAAAACTAATGGAAATTTAAGCAAGATCTTTGGTGCTAGAAGCCATATCCATTTTCTCCCCAAAAATACCTTTTCCCAAACTCCAGATCTTACTACTCCATCGCCATTTAATAGAGGATTAAAAATACTTTTTTCAAATAACTTTTTTTCTGATTAGAATTTGTCRTGATAAGTTGCATCTAGTTTTCAGGAAGACCTAAGAAGAGGAACAGACGCAATTTTCCTCAGTGATCTTTCCTACTATATGAACATATTATTTGATAGTGTGTTGGGCCTGAGCACAGCTCTATTCAGTGCAGATTAATGGGCTTCTTAAAATTTTCCTTCATATTAAGATAAGAAGCTCTGGAAACTTTTTGATATTCTAACCATAAACCCTCCATATGCAGAAATCAAAATGCAGAGGTCTTCCCAAAACTTAGAAATAAGGCTCCGCTGTGAGCTCATGGAGCTCTGCACAGATACCAGTTCCAGTCTTGTCCCTTTTGTTTGGAAGCTGTCATATTAGATGGTGGTTTCCAGTGAGAATCAAATCACAAATCCCTAAATTTAGATCAGTTCTTAGGCAGGAAAACATTTACTGTGTTTCATTTGTTTATATATTTAATTATACTTACGGACGTAGCAACCAGGCCACAAATTGCATAATTATTTAGCTACCAGGCAAAGACTCAGTGTGTTACCATGAAGAGGGATTTGAGTTAATATCCTGGTTACAGGTCTCTTCACTGTTCTGTGCCATTCCTCACCACTTCCATAGGAAAGCAGAAGAGGGCCCTAATTTGGAGCTGTGTTTTCTGCTTTGGGAGCAGCAGTAAGGCACTGAAAAGGAAGATTTAAATTCCTGTGGTGCCTTGCCTGCAGTGACCCGAGTTCTGTGTGAGTGTTAACCCTTGTTTTCCTGGCCTGGGAAGGTTTCCCACCTGTCCTATTCCCTTGCACCCAGAAGTGCTGAGGATTCACAAGGCACTGCAGGGAGATTGGGTCTGTTTTGCCAGCAGTGATGAAAAATACATAGGCCTACTCTTTGCATTAAAGAGCAGTGTTCTTCATGTGACTCACCAGTGATTTCTGAGAACAACCAAAGAGCTATGATTAGCCTGAGCTGAAACCTTGCAGCGTCCTCCGTGCCTTCAGAAAGCGATGCCTCGCACCCCGGRGTGGGTGACGAGTGACAGGGAAACAGAGGGGGCAAATCCCAAGAGGGCCATTCTGCAGTATGTGGAAAGGCTAATTTAGATGTAAAAATAAAAGAACACGTGGATCAGAACAGCTCTGTGCTCTCTGGCAGAAACSCCTCACTTGAATAAACTCAATAGGAGCAAAATGATGCCCAAGTTTCTGAGCATAATTGGTGGCAGAGATTGAAGGCAGACAGCTAAGTAAGCAGCTGAAAAATGGTTCCTGGCCTATTCAAATGAAGAAATTAATCTGTGTAAACTGAACAGAATTGAGTTTGTGCCTGTCATTTACTGTTTTAGTRTGAGGGTACCAGGTTATTTATTATACTTGAAGCCCCCCGGAATAAGGTTATATGACTGTTCTCATACTTTCATAAAATCAGATGTGACTTATCACAAAGAACTCCTGTCAGAAAGAAAATGGGCARAAGTAATCAATAATGAAAACTGAATAAGAAATAGTGAATTATAAATTATGAATTTATGAATCTTACAGTACACACTTTACCTGTATTTTTTCATAAAATGATTTTTGATGAATATCTTCAGTGAGCAGAATCCAGCACTAAAAACCTATGACTCAGCGCTTCTGA